ACCTTTACAATAAATTAAACCTTTTATAAATATAAATATATATATATATATATATATATATATATATATATATATATATATATATATATATATATATATATATATATATATATATTAATATCTCATATTAGTTAAATAATTATTTTAATATAATATATGGATAAACTTAATAATTTATTATATTTAAATTCCCTAGGTACTTGGCAAGCAATTTTCTCACACTTTACTGTGGCTATTGGTGCTGATCTTGAACTAAAGGTGAGCTGAATTTTTTTTTATAATAAGCCATTTTTCAGCTTAAGCCCAAGTTTGAAATCGATTCAGTGTTCTAATTCTTAAAGAATATGTTGCTACTAAGATTATATACTGTAAGTATTAATATGTATGGCTTGATAGTGGGACTGTCAGACAGTAGCTTTCACATTTCTATCCTAAAAGATAAGAGTTCAGATCCCTGGTTTTAGTCCTGGTATGATGTCCTAAGTCTCATGAGTACCAGCTCTCATGAGTACCTGGCTCAAGATAGGGAAATTAAAGGTGGCTGGGTATATACCTCTGAACACTCTAATTTTACATGCAAATGTCACAGAAACAGGTGAATTTTAATTCAACTGCTATATTGGCTGTCTGTTTTAATCAATGATTAATTTTTTCATATTACAGAAAGTTGTTAAAAATATTATTTATTTAATTTCTAGGTAAATGGAACAGCATGGATGTGGATTTTTAGACACAAGGAAGCTGAATTTAACTTTTAATGAAGAATTTAAATGATGATTGTCCATGAAAAGAAATATTAATCATATACATTGTAATGCTGTATTGATGCATCTTCTGTTTTAAGTAATTAAAAAACCATCCATTTATGAAATTATTTTCATTTTTTTTTTTTCAATTTTAAAACTGTAGTTCTGTTTTGTTATTTGAAAACAATGATGAAAGTATACTGAACTGCCATTGACATATTAATATAAATGCTATTGTTTATAGTTTAATTCTTTCAGAAGCAACTATATTGACATCAAAACTGAATCTTTATTGTACACTAAGTATAAAAGCTTACCCGCAAACCAGTCCATGTCAACAATTTATTGACATTCAAACATTAAATTTTTTTAAAGGTGATTTTTCTTAAATAAAACAGACTACTTTCATATGGGATAAGAAACATTTAATTTTGAAATCGATTGGTTTATTAAATTTTAATGGAGCTGGAAGTAAAACACTGGGTACAAATTTATTATTACTTTGTTTCTCAGAAAATTGCAAATTTTGAACATAAGAACTGTGGGAAGTAGGCAATGATGTTAAAATATCTCTTGAAACTTGAAGAAATTGTGGAAGGTTTAGAGATAGAAAACAACATTTCAGAAGATGATGTTTGAAATAATGGTAAAATATCTTTAGCAATTGTCACTGAATAAATATTTTCATTAGACAAATCACATTTAGATATAGAAGAATAAGGTATGTCTTCAGATTTTCTTATCAGCGAAGATCCTGGGTGATTCTCTTTGTTACCATCGGTCAAACGACAAGCCACTTCTGGAAAATTCATTGGGTTCTTTGCCTGGGCAGCTAAATATATTTAAATTAAGTTCATGCAAGGCTTTAGAAACATCAATTGGATAAAACTCTATAATTTCATTAACTTTTTATTAATATCAGCTCCAAAGGAATAATATAAACAAGTTACACATCATCAATAAATCAAATTTGCAGATATTTCCATTTCACCAAACTTTCTCTAAGTCATAATATATATTTTAAATTCATGGCATTTTGTTAGGCTAGATATGTTGACTTTTATTTACCACAATAATCTGATTATATAAATTAGGATTACCCAGCTATCATACATTCTTCTTTTTACTGCCCTCCTTTATGAGGGGGAGGTAAAAATCATCATAAAATGTGTGATGCAATTTACAGATGAACCCTCTCTCTCTCTCTACCCCTCCCCCTATATATATATGTATATCTACATAATCTCTAAAATCATGTTGGTACCTCTACCTGTTTGAATGTTAGGCCCATTTCCTTAAACTGTTTCTGTGTGGATCTTCTCCATGGGGGTCATCTATAAATGACGTCACGCATTTTTTGACGATTTTTACCTCCCCCCCCCTCCCCCTACACATCGTCACAAAAAGCCAGACCCCCACCCCCTAAAATGACGTCACACAGTACTAGATTCTAGATCTAAATTACTACAGTTGCCTACACTCTAGATTTAGTTCTTAAGTTCTACAACAAGACTACACTAAACTTCGCTAGATCTAGAATAATCTAGATTCTATATATAAATTGATATTGAACATATTCTAGTCTACCTGTCTTAAAGTAAATAGCCTATTTAGTAATTAATTCCACTCAACTACACTGTAAAATAAAAGAAACTAGATCTAGAATCTAGATCTCTAGACTACTCTTGAGTCTATAAATTAAAAATAAATCCTGTATGTCGTATGTTACTGTCTAAGTCGTAATTTTCAAGAGGGTTTTTTTTAAGTCATAGATCTAGATATAGAGTTCTAGATCTAGAAATCTAGACTCTAGATCTAGGCTATAGATCTATATATTTATTATTATTAATTAAATTAGGCTTGATTTCAGATTTACGATTGAAATCTTTTAGGCCTATAAATATCATATTTTATATAGATTATAGATGTATTATTATTATACAGGTTGTATTCTAGATCTATCTAGATCTATATAAAATATAATATATTTGAGTGTGTGTGTGTTATTTTAAACTTAATTTACTTAAAACAACTTATTGTCGGAGTTTTTTTTTATTCCAAAAACGAAAGTAGATTTCATAACTTAAAAAAAAAAAAAAAAAATATTCACATTTGGTTTGAAAAAACAAAAAAACGCCAGCTGGCAACTACCGGAGCGAGAACTTGGTAAGCTACTTTAACAACTTACAAGCCCAATTACGTGGTCGTGATGGCGCAGCTATTGATGACGCGTGTGGTGTGGTTGACTAGACATGCCTACTAATTCGGTCCAAATTTTAATTAATTCATAAAAAATCAATTAGGCATCCAATTAAGTCAAATTTAGTTTCAGATTGCATTGTCTTCATGTCTTGACCCACGTGCCAACTGTGAATCGTGTCGGTCAAGTAGAACTGTCCAAATTTTCACTCCTGCGTTTCCGTCAAGACAGACTGACGACAGACTGACGACAGACTGTCGAGGAAGTGAGTTAAATAAAAGCTTGTAAAAACTGTGCCACTTATACAAACAAATGTAAATCCTTACATAAATAGTTTAAATAGACCCAACCCCATTAATTAGAAGACAATGCGATGCACTATCACCAGATTTATTAATGCGAGAAAGTTTAGGGGTGTTCACTCCCGCTTAATTTAAATGGTAAAGGAAGTAATAAGTACAAAGGACGTCATTTGTATATTTTATTCAAACGTAAATTGGAATTTTTGTAAAGGGTATTATATTTATTTTAATTTCGTTCTTTGCACATTACGTCACTCAAAATGATAAGTTTGGAAGATGAATATTTAAATATTAAATTGAAAATGATCAAAATTGAGTTTTTAAAATTATCTTTTGAGAATTTAGTACAAAATAAACAATTTAAAAATATTACACTATGATCAAGTCGAGTTTTTTTAGTAGATTCTAAATTTATCCACCCGTCCGCCTGAGTCCACTTTAAACATAAAGAACGAGAATCCTAGTCTGTGCCGGCCCACGTATAACTTCCACACACAATGTACGCTCAATTAAAATAAAACAAAATTAATTATTCATCCGCTCACATTAATTAAATTAATTTTACTTTCTTGTAAACAGTGGAGAGAGGGAGTATCGTGGTCGTGCTGCATTTATTTTGACAGTTTTCGCCCCCCCCCCCCCCATCCCCAATAGTTGCCTGAAATAAAACTAAATGCAACTTTTAGGTGCAGGGTTTAAGGGTATGACTACGATTATATTTAGTATGAATGTGCAGTAACTATGTGTAGATAAAAGGTTAAATTACCGATTCTTGATAAAAATCCGTTTTCAAAGACATTTTTCCTCGATTCCTGTTAAATTTGAGGTTGAGGTGGTGATCGAGAAAAAGCTAACACTATCAACCCAGCGCCAGTTGTATTTCTCTCTCAACGGGTCATTTATCTAGTATTATTATCGGGTCAATGTGAACGTTCATATTTTGAATATAACAACAAAATACTTACATTTACAAAAAAAAAAAATAGCTGCACATAAAATGGGTGGTTATACAATCGGCAGTTCTCGTGTTAAATACCCGCAGCACAATTTGTGAATGAAAGTTATCAGAAATGTAACTATATCGCCCGCCTAAGAAAAAAAGCGGAGATTTCTTTACAAACAGAAGGGGAGGGGGCATTGACAGCGGCTAGTTTCGAAAACAATTCACAGTATTTAAGGTTTATTTTGCTCCACTTTTTAAATGTTATTTAGGCCTAGTAATAGATGTTACCAGGAACTATCAAATCCCTATATTGACATTACAATAGCATAGCAAGGTCTAGGCCTATATCACATGTGAATACATTTTAACAGCATGTTTCTGTAACGCCCCTTCACCCTATGCATAAGTCCAAGTAGCGGCCAACAGGTGATGAAATAGTCGCCGGTGCCAACCCCACCTTACTCCAGTATGTCAATTTTTGTATGGCAACAACCTTCCAAAGCTTTGTTATCATCAACCAAATAGTGTAGTAATGCATAACTGTCAGACCCACCCTAACACACAAATGCTTTTATTTATATGGATGCCTCTCTCTTTCTCTCTCTCTCTCTATATATATATGGCTTGTTTATGTGATTTTTTAAAGTGTTAGCGTAGTTTTATTTAGTGTGAAGCTTTTGTGCCCATCTAGTCATTGGGGCTAATTAGGTCGGTACATGGCAAAAAATTTTCTTTTTGCCTGCCAACATGAGAGAATAGAAGGATGGTGTGACCCCGTCTCCACAGGGTCGTACAACGTTTTCAAAATGAAATTCCAGACTTTTTTTGAAAAATTCCAGACTTTATTCAGATGTGTTAAATGTTAACTCTAGCACAGCTTAGTTGACTGTTAAAACTTTAGCACAGTTAACCCATAACAGTTTTAATATGAGCATCAGCGAAATACATACAATAAAATACATTATAGTTTCCAAACAAATTGTTCTATATTAAGCACAGATCAATTAATTTATTTTAACATTTGAAGTCAATAAACAATCAGACCATCTCTGATCTAGATTAGCAATATGCATCACTTTTTATACATTTTATACATTCTTGCCCTAGTATAAATGACGTGTATGCATGTCATTTTCTTGCCTGTATACAAATGACATCTGGGTACATTTGTAGGAAAGCTCCAATTTCCTCAATTTTTTCAACTTGACATTTCTGGAGCTGGACTTGCAGGTTGCCAACCAGTGCGGCCTGCTTCAACATTTCCTCTTGTAACTGGAACACAGCAATCTAAAACATCACTCTGATAAAAATACATCTAGCCCACATAAACCAGCCCACATGAACCAGAACCAGCCCACATGAACCAGAACCAGCCCACATGAACCAGCCCACATGAACCAGAACCAGCCCACATAAACCAGAACCAGCCCACATGAACCAGAACCAGCCCACATGAACCAGAACCAGCCCACATGAACCAGAACCAGCCCACATGAACCAGAACCAGCCCACATGAACCAGAACCAGCCCACATGAACCTGAACTAGCCCACATGAACCAGAACCAGCCCACATGAACCAGAACCAGCCCACATGAACCAGAACCAGCCCACATGAACCAGAACCAGCCCACATGAACCAGAACTAGCCCACATGAACCAGAACTAGCCCACATGAACCAGAACCAGCCCACATGAACCAGCCCACATGAACCAGAACCAGCCCACATGAACCAGCCCACATGAACCAGAACCAGCCCACATGAACCAGAACTAGCCCACATGAACCAGAACCAGCCCACATGAACCAGAACTAGCCCACATGAACCAGAACCAGCCCACATGAACCAGCCCACATCAACCAGAACCAGCCCACATGAACAAGAACCAGCCCACATGAACTAGCCCACATGAACCAGAACCAGCCCACATGAACCAGAACCAGCCCACATGAACCAGAACCAGCCCACATGAACCAGAACCAGCCCACATGAACTAGCCCACATGAACCAGAACCAGCCCACATGAACCAGAACCAGCCCACATGAACCAGCACCAGCCCACATGAACCAGAACCAGCCCACATGAACCAGCCCACATGAACCAGCCCACATGAACAAGAACCAGCCCACATGAACCAGCCCACATGAACCAGAACCAGCCCACATGAACCAGAACCAGCCCACATGAACCAGAACCAGCCCACATGAACCAGCCCACATGTACTAGCCCACATGAACTAACCCACATGAACCAGAACCAGCCCACATGAACCAGAACCAGCCCACATGAACCAGAACCAGCCCACATGAACCAGAACCAGCCCACATGAACCAGAACCAGCCCACATGAAGTAGCCCACATGAACCAGAACCAGCCCACATGAACCAGCCCACATGAACCAGAACCAGCCCACATGAACCAGAACCAGCCCACATGAACCAGAACCAGCCCACATGAACCAGAACCAGCCCACATGAACTAGCCCACATGAACCAGCCCAAATGAACCAGAACCAGCCCAAATGAACCAGAACCAGCCCACATGAACCAGAACCAGCCCACATGAACCAGAACCAGCCCACATGAACCAGAACCAGCCCACATAAACCAGCCCACATGAACTAACCCACATGAACCAGAACCAGCCCACATGAACCAGAACCAGCCCACATGAACCAGAACCAGCCCACATGAACCAGAACCAGCCCACATGAACCAGAACCAGCCCACATGAACCAGCCCACATGTACTAGCCCACATGAACTAACCCACATGAACCAGAACCAGCCCACATGAACCAGAACCAGCCCACATGAACCAGAACCAGCCCACATGAACCAGAACCAGCCCACATGAACCAGCCCACATGAACCAGAACCAGCCCACATGAACCAGAACCAGCCCACATGAACCAGAACCAGCCCACATGAACCAGAACCAGCCCACATGAACGAGCCCACATGTACTAGCCCACATGAACTAACCCACATGAACCAGAACCAGCCCACATGAACCAGAACCAACCCACATGAACCAGAACCAGCCCACATGAACCAGAACCAGCCCACATGAACCAGAACCAGCCCACATGAACCAGAACCAGCCATCATGAACTAGCCCACATGAACCAGAACCAGCCCACATGAACCAGAACCAGCCCACATGAACCAGAACCAGCCCACATGAACTAGCCCACATGAACCAGCCCAAATGAACCAGAACCAGCCCAAATGAACCAGAACCAGCCCACATGAACCAGAACCAGCCCACATGAACCAGCCCACATGAACCAGAACCAGCCCACATGAACCAGCCCACATGTACTAGCCCACATGAACTAACCCACATGAACCAGAACCAGCCCACATGAACCAGAACCAGCCCACATGAACCAGAACCAGCCCACATGAACCAGAACCAGCCCACATGAACCAGCCCACATGAACTAGCCCACATGAACCAGAACCAGCCCACATGAACCAGCCCACATGAACCAGAACCAGCCCACATGAACTAGCCCACATGAACCAGAACCAGCCCACATGAACTAGCCCACATGAACCAGAACCAGCCCACATGAACTAGCCCACATGAACCAGCCCACATGAACCAGAACCAGCCCACATGAACCAGAACCAGCCCACATGAACCAGAACCAGCCCACATGAACCAGAACCAGCCCACATGAACCAGAACCAGCCCACATGAACCAGAACCAGCCCACATGAACCAGAACCAGCCCACATGAACCAGCCCACATGAACCAGAACCAGCCCACATGAACCAGAACCAGTCCACATGAACCAGAACCAGCCCACATGAACCAGAACCAGCCCACATGAACCAGAACCAGCCCACATGAACCAGCCCACATGAATTAGAACCAGCCCACATGAATTAGAACCAGCCCACATGAACCAGCCCACATGAACCAGAACCAGCCCACATGAACCAGCCCACATGAACCAGAACCAGCCCACATGAACCAGAACCAGCCCACATGAACCAGAACCAGCCCACATGAACCAGCCCACATGAACTAGCCCACATGAACCAGAACCAGCCCACATGAACCAGCCCACATGAACCAGCCCACATGAACCAGCCCACATGAACCAGCCCACATGAATCAGAACTAGCCCACATGAACCAGCCCACATGAACCAGCCCACATGAACCAGCCCACATGTACCAGCCCACATGAACCAGAACCAGCCCACATGAACCAGCCCACATGAACCAGAACCAGCCCACATGAACCAGAACCAGCCCACATGAACCAGAACCAGCCCACATGAACTAGCCCACATGAACCAGAACCAGCCCACATGAACCAGAACCAGCCCACATGAACTAGCCCACATGAACCAGAACCAGCCCACATGAACCAGAACCAGCCCACATAAACCAGAACCAGCCCACATGAACCAGCCCACATGAACCAGAACCAGCCCACATGAACCAGAACCAGCCCACATGAACCAGAACCAGCCCACATGAACCAGCCCACATGAACCAGAACCAGCCCACATGAACCAGCCCACATGAACCAGAACCAGCCCACATGAACCAGAACCAGCCCACATGAACCAGAACCAGCCCACATGAACCAGCCCACATGAACTAGCCCACATGAACCAGAACCAGCCCACATGAACCAGCCCACATGAACCAGCCCACATGAACCAGCCCACATGAATCAGAACTAGCCCACATGAACCAGCCCACATGAACCAGCCCACATGAAACAGCCCACATGTACCAGCCCACATGAACCAGAACCAGCCCACATGAACCAGCCCACATGAACCAGAACCAGCCCACATGAACCAGAACCAGCCCACATGAACCAGAACCAGCCCACATGAACTAGCCCACATGAACCAGAACCAGCCCACATGAACCAGCCCACATGAACTAGCCCACATGAACCAGAACCAGCCCACATGAACCAGCCCACATGAACCAGCCCACATGAACCAGCCCACATGAATCAGAACTAGCCCACATGAACCAGCCCACATGAACCAGCCCACATGAAACAGCCCACATGTACCAGCCCACATGAACCAGAACCAGCCCACATGAACCAGCCCACATGAACCAGAACCAGCCCACATGAACCAGAACCAGCCCACATGAACCAGAACCAGCCCACATGAACTAGCCCACATTAACCAGAACCAGCCCACATGAACCAGCCCACATGAACCAGCCCACATGAACCAGCCCACATGAACCAGAACCAGCCCACATGAACTAGCCCACATGAACCAGAACCAGCCCACATGAACCAGAACCAGCCCACATGAACCAGAACCAGCCCACATGAGCCAGAACTAGCCCACATGAACCAGAACTAGCCCACATGAACCAGAACTAGCCCACATGAACCAGCCCACATGTACCAGCCCACATGAACCAGAACCAGCCCACATGAACCAGAACCAGCCCACATGAACTAGCCCACATGAACTAGCCCACATGAACCAGAACCAGCCCACATGAACCAGAACCAGCCCACATGTACCAGCCCACATGAACTAGCCCACATGAACCAGAACCAGCCCACATGAACTAGCCCACATAAACTAGCCCACATGAACCAGAACCAGCCCACATGAACCAGAACCAGCCCACATGTACCAGCCCACATGAACCAGAACCAGCCCACATGAACCAGAACCAGCCCACATGAACCAGCCCACATGAACCAGCCCACATGAACCAGAACCAGCCCACATGAACCAGAACTAGCCCACATGAACCAGAACCAGCCCACATGAACCAGCCCACATCAACCAGAACCAGCCCACATGAACCAGCCCACATGAAATAGCCCACATGAACCAGAACCAGCCCACATGAACCAGAACCAGCCCACATGAACCAGCACCAGCCCACATGAACCAGAACCAGCCCACATGAACCAGAACCAGCCCACATGAACCAGCCCACATGAACAAGAACCAGCCCACATGAACCAGCCCACATGAACCAGCCCACATGAACTAGAACCAGCCCACATGAACCAGAACCAGCCCACATGAACCAGCCCACATGAACTAGCCCACATGAACCAGCCCAAATGAACCAGAACCAGCCCAAATGAACCAGAACCAGCCCACATGAACCAGAACCAGCCCACATGAACCAGAACCAGCCCACATGAACCAGCCCACATGTACTAGCCCACATGAACTAACCCACATGAACCAGAACCAGCCCACATGAACCAGAACCAGCCCACATGAACCAGAACCAGCCCACATGAACCAGCCCACATGAACCAGCCCACATGAACCAGCCCACATGAACTAGCCCACATGAACCAGAACCAGCCCACATGAACCAGAACCAGCCCACATGAACCAGAACCAGCCCACATGAACCAGCCCACATGAACCAGAACCAGCCCACATGAACCAGCCCACATGAACCAGAACCAGCCCACATGAACCAGAACCAGCCCACATGAACCAGAACCAGCCCACATGAACCAGAACCAGCCCACATGAACCAGAACCAGCCCACATGAACCAGCCCACATGAACCAGAACCAGCCCACATGAACCAGAACCAGCCCACATGAACCAGAACCAGCCCACATGAACCAGCCCACATGAACCAGAACCAGCCCACATGAACCAGCCCACATAAACCAGAACAAGCCCACATGAACCAGAACCAGCCCACATGTACCAGCCCACATGAACCAGAACCAGCCCACATGAACCAGAACCAGCCCACATGAACCAGAACCAGCCCACATGAACCAGCCCACATGAACCAGAACCAGCCCACATGAACCAGAACCAGCCCACATGAACCAGAACTAGCCCACATGAACCAGAACCAGCCCACATGAACCAGCCCACATGAACCAGAACTAGCCCACATGAACCAGAACCAGCCCACATGAACCAGCCCACATGAACCAGAACCAGCCCACATGAACTAGCCCACATGAACCAGCCCACATGAACCAGAACCAGCCCACATGAACCAGAACCAGCCCACATGAACCAGCCCACATGAAATAGTCTACATGAACCAGCCCACATGAACCAGAACCAGCCCACATGAACCAGCACCAGCCCACATGAACCAGCACCAGCCCACATGAACCAGAACCAGCCCACATGAACCAGCCCACATGAACAAGAACCAGCCCACATGAACCAGCCCATATGAACCAGCCCACATGGACAAGAAACAGCCCACATGAACCAGAACCAGCCCACATGAACTAGCCCACATGAACCAGAACCAGCCCAAATGAACCAGAACCAGCCCACATGAACCAGAACCAGCCCACATGAACCAGAACCAGCCCACATGAACCAGCCCACATGAACCAGCCCACATGGACAAGAAACAGCCCACATGAACCAGAACCAGCCCACATGAACTAGCCCACATGAACCAGAACCAGCCCACATGAACCAGAACCAGCCCACATGAACCAGCCCACATGAACCAGAACCAGCCCACATGAACCAGAACCAGCCCACATGAACTAGCCCACATGAACCAGAACCAGCCCACATGAACCAGCCCACATGAACCAGAACCAGCCCACATGAACTAGCCCACATGAACCAGAACCAGCCCACATGAACCAGAACCAGCCCACATGAACCAGCCCACATGAACCAGAACCAGCCCACATGAACCAGAACCAGCCCACATGAACCAGAACCAGCCCACATGAACCAGAACCAGCCCACATGAACCAGCCCACATGAACCAGAACCAGCCCACATGAACCAGAACCAGCCCACATGAACCAGAACCAGCCCACATGAACCAGCCCACATGAACCAGAACCAGCCCACATGAACCAGCCCACATGAACCAGAACCAGCCCACATGAACCAGAACCAGCCCACATGAACCAGAACCAGCCCACATGAACCAGAACCAGCCCACATGAACCAGAACCAGCCCACATGAACCAGCCCACATGAACCAGAACCAGCCCACATGAACCAGCCCACATGAACCAGCCCACATGAACCAGAACCAGCCCACATGAACCAGCCCACATGAACCACCAGAACCAGCCCACATGAACCAGCCCACATGAACCAGCCCACATGAACCAGAACCAGCCCACATGAACCAGCCCACATGAACCAGAACCAGCCCACATGAACCAGAACCAGCCCACATGAACCAGAACCAGCCCACATGAACCAGCCCACATGAACCAGAACCAGCCCACATGAACCAGCCCACATGAACCAGAACCAGCCCACATGAACCAGAACTAGCCCACATGAACCAGAACTAGCCCACATGAACCAGCCCACATGTACCAGCCCACATGAACCAGAACCAGCCCACATGAACCAGAACCAGCCCACATGAACTAGCCCACATGAACTAGCCCACATGAACCAGAACCAGCCCACATGAACCAGAACCAGCCCACATGTACCAGCCCACATGAACTAGCCCACATGAACCAGAACCAGCCCACATGAACTAGCCCACATGAACTAGCCCACATGAACCAGAACCAGCCCACATGAACCAGAACCAGCCCACATGAACTAGCCCACATGAACTAGCCCACATGAACCAGAACCAGCCCACATGAACCAGAACCAGCCCACATGAACTAGCCCACATGAACTAGCCCACATGAACCAGAACCAGCCCACATGAACCAGAACCAGCCCACATGTACCATAACCAGCCCACATGAACCAGAACCAGCCCACATGAACCAGCCCACATGAACCAGAACCAGCCCACATGAACCAGAACCAGCCCACATGAACCAGAACCAGCCCACATGAACCAGAACCAGCCCACATGAACCAGAACCAGCCCACATGAACCAGCCCACATGAACCAGAACCAGCCCACATGAACCAGAACCAGCCCACATGAACCAGAAGCAGCCCACATGAACCAGAACCAGCCCACATAAACCAGAACCAGCCCACATGAACCAGAACCAGCCCACATGAACCAGCCCACATGAACCAGAACCAGCCCACATGAACCAGCCCACATGAACCAGCCCACATGAACCAGAACCAGCCCACATGAACTAGCCCACATGAACCAGAACCAGCCCACATGAACCAGCCCACATGAACCAGAACCAGCCCACATGAACCAGAACCAGCCCACATGTACCAGCCCACATAAACCAGAACCAGCCCACATGAACTAGCCCACATGAACCAGCCCACATGAACCAGAACCAGCCCACATGAACCAGAACCAGCCCACATGAACCAGAACCAGCCCACACGAACCAGCCCACATGAACCAGAACCAGCCCACATGAACCAGAACCAGCCCACATGAACCAGAACCAGCCCACATGAACCAGAACCAGCCCACATGAACCAGAACCAGCCCACATGAACCAGTCCACATGAACCAGAACCAGCCCACATGAACCAGAACCAGCCCACATGAACCAGAACCAGCCCACATGAACCAGAACCAGCCCACATGAACCAGAACCAGCCCACATGAACCAGAACCAGCCCACATGAACCAGAACCAGCCCACATGAACCAGAACCAGCCCACATGAACCAGAACCAGCCCACATGAACCAGTCCACATGAACCAGAACCAGCCCACATGAACCAGCCCACATGACCCAGCCCCTAGAAACCAGAACATACGTACAGCTGTGTTTTGCACTTGTCCACTTGTCTGCTGGGGGCAGGGTACAGCACTGTGAGACAGCTGGTTGGGGCAGGGTACAGCACTGTGAGACAGCTGCTGGGGGCAGGGTACAGCACTGTGAGACAGCTGGTGGGGACAGGGTACAGCACTGTGAGACAGCTGGCAGGGTACAGCACTGTGAGACAGCAACTGCGTGAGACCTAGCAGTTCTAAATCCACTTGCTCAACCCATCCTATTGAAGTTGATCTCTAAACAAACATTGCATTAAAAACGTTTTTAATAGCAATAGGAGAAAATGATTTTCTTTAAATATATATTACTATGCTACTATTTGAATAACCATAAAGAAAAGCGTGGGTCACTTAAGTATCTATCTACTTTATGGTCGTTCACAAATAAATGTTTACACCAGATCCTCAAAATAAGATGGTCGGACAAAATATCAAATAAGGACCTGTGGCAAAACAAAAACAACAGCCCATAGATACGGACATCCAAGCCCGTAAATGGGGGATGGTTTGGACATACCACGAGAAGGGAAGAAGATAATATTCCATAGAAAACTATGGACTGGAATCATGAACAGTGTTTCTCCCAGACTTTTTTCTCCATGGGGGCAGTTGAAATTATATTGGGGGGGGGGGGGGGAATGACGACAACACTGTTAAATGTATATATTTTCTATATAATTCCATTTCGTTCCGGAGGGGGGGGGGGGCGGAAGACTTGTATGTGTAGCTAGACTGACCTTGAGTGTGAAGCTAGACCAGTGGCGGAACTAGAAAAAAAGGGCCACCCCGCAAAAAAAAATAATTGTAGCCTCCCCATGAAGTAAGTAAAGTTCCCTTTTCAAACCTGACGGTCTCTGGGGCAAGTGAAGTAGAGTTCACTTGTTTCTGTGACCTCAGCATATGAAGAGATAGTGTGGTCAGCACTATGCCCAGCCGCCTTTACTTTCCCTAACGTGAGTTAGGTACCCATCAGAGTTGGGTGGACTCAGGGATGGTCTAGTGACTTGAACCCGGATTCGAACTCGATACTTACGGGTTAGCAGTCCAGCTCTCTACCGCTAGACCACTCCGTCCCTTATATATATATATAGGAGGGGGGGGCTACAAACACAAAATACAAACATGGGATACTCATTGCTGGCCTGTTAGGATTTTGAAAAAAAAAGTTGTTTTTTTTCAATTAAAACAATTTACAACATGTCATGTGTGTAGGTGCATTAGTCTGTTTTATTTTTTTAATTAAGTTTGAAAATCAGTTTAATTTTATCTCTGCTACAAGACCTATTAAACTCTGGGCGGTCAAAAGAATATAAAACATGAAAGCTTTGTATAAGTAATGGTGTCTCGCGTTATGTTTATTTTTTTGTTTTTTTTGTGTATTCATATTATTCATTTTAAATACATTTCCTTTAAATTTAAATACAATGTCATTCTTTAGTAAGTAATTTATTATAAAATAATAATTAAGAGAAGTAATTGCTTTTTTATTTGTTTTGTACAAATCTATTAATTAAAAGGAGCTTATGAGCACCCCTATTTGACTATTTAAAAAAGGGAGTTAAGTCATGGAAGTGGTTTGAACGTATGCTTATCTTTGATAAGTTTGATTGTAGGAGAAAGAGGACTCGGCTTTCACAGTGGTTTTAAAAAACAAAGGGTAAAAGAATATACAAGAGCGTGGGGTGGTGTCTATAGAAGAAAGATAATCCAACCGCAGCAAAAGGAATCTTTTTTCAAAACAACCATCAAGTCAAAAATGCAAGAAAATAATTTTTTTGTAAACTATAAAAAAAATTATTGTGGTCGGCTGAGGGCCCCTAAATGGCGTGGCCCCCCCACCCCCCTGGCGGCACTGTAGTTCCCCTGTAGTTCCACACCTTGAGTGTGGCGAGACTGACCTTGAGTGTGGTGAGACTGACCTTGAGTGGAATGAGCTGCTCAAGTCTATTCATGTCTGGCTCGTGATTTAGAATCAACTCTCTGACCTTTGACCTTGCTGTGCTAATGTCCTGTCCTAAATTCTCAGCAATTTGTCCAGCATCTGGTCCAGTTGACCTCTGCTCCAGCTCCAGTACACTGGCCTGAAAGCAACCAATCACAGTACTACATGACATCATACACTCAACCAATCACAGTACTACATGACATCATACACTCAACCAATCACAGAACACAGTACTACATGACATCATACACTCAACCAATCACAGTACTACATGACATCATACACTCAACCAATCACAGAACACAGTACTACATGACATCATACACTCAACCAATCACAGTACTACATGACATCATACACTCAACCAATCACAGAACACAGTACTACATGACATCATACACTCAACCAATCACAGTACTACATGACATCATACACTCAACCAATCACAGAACACAGTACTAAATGACATCATACACTCAACCAATCACAGTACTACATGACATCATACACTCAACCAATCACAGAACACAGTACTACATGACATCATACACTCAACCAATCACAGTACTACATGACATCATACACTCAACCAATCACAGAACACAGTACTACATGACATCATACACTCAACCATCACATTATGAAAAACCTTTTGTTTCATTCAATATTCAACAATAGTTCTAATAGAAAAAATGGCCTCCTACCATCCAATGCCAGAAAACAGATTTCTTTTCCTTCCATTCAAGTAAATGTTGCAGGGATCTCATCTCAGCTTCAAGGTCAACCAGCAGCTAAAAATAGACATTTGCTTATGAAACAACAACTCTCCTCAGGTTTAGACACTGGCCAGGAATAATCATACACATCTGCTTTATCCATACACATCTGCTTCATCCATACACATCTGCTTCATCCATACACATCTGCTTTATCCATACACATCTGCTTCATCCATACACATCTGCTTCATCCATACACATCTGCTTCATCCATACACATCTGCTTCATCCATACACATCTGCTTCATCCATACACATCTGCTTCATCCATACACATCTGCTTCATCCATACACATCTGCTTCATCCATACACGCCTGCTTCATCCATACACATCTGCTTCATCCATACACATCTGCTTCATCCATACACATCTGCTTCATCCATACATGCCTGCTTCATCCATACACATCTGCTTCATCCATACACATCTGCTTCATCCATACACATCTGCTTCATCCATACACATCTGCTTCATCCATACATGCCTGCTTCATCCATACACATCTGCTTCATCCATACACATCTGCTTCATCCATACACATCTGCTTCATCCATACACATCTGCTTCATCCATACACATCTGCTTCATCCATACATGCCTGCTTCATCCATACATGCCTGCTTCATCCATACACATCTGCTTCATCCATACATGCCTGCTTCATCCATACATGCCTGCTTCATCCATACACATCTGCTTCATCCATACATGCCTGCTTCATCCATACATGCCTGCTTCATCCATACATGCCTGCTTCATCCATACACATCTGCTTCATCCATACATGCCTGCTTCATCCATACACATCTGCTTCATCCATACATGCCTGCTTCATCCATACATGCCTGCTTCATCCATACATGCCTGCTTCATCCATACACATCTGCTTCATCCATACATGCCTGCTTCATCTATACATGCCTGCTTCATCCATACATGCCTGCTTCATCCATACACATCTGCTTCATCCATACATGCCTGCTTCATCCATACACATCTGCTTCATCCATACATGCCTGCTTCATCCATACATGCCTGCTTCATCCATACACATCTGCTTCATCCATACATGCCTGCTTCATCCATACATGCCTGCTTCATCCATACACATCTGCTTCATCCATACACATCTGCTTCATCCATACACGCCTGCTTCATCCATACATGTCTGCTTCATCCATACACATCTGCTTCATCCATACATGCCTGCTTCATCCATACATGCCTGCTTCATCCATACATGCCTGCTTCATCCATACACATCTGCTTCATCCATACATGCCTGCTTCATCCATACACATCTGCTTCATCCATACATGCCTGCTTCATCCATACATGCCTGCTTCATCCATACACATCTGCTTCATCCATACATGCCTGCTTCATCCATACACATCTGCTTCATCCATACATGCCTGCTTCATCCATACATGCCTGCTTCATCCATACATGCCTGCTTCATCCATACACATCTGCTTCATCCATACATGCCTGCTTCATCTATACATGCCTGCTTCATCCATACATGCCTGCTTCATCCATACACATCTGCTTCATCCATACATGCCTGCTTCATCCATACACATCTGCTTCATCCATACATGCCTGCTTCATCCATACATGCCTGCTTCATCCATACACATCTGCTTCATCCATACATGCCTGCTTCATCCATACATGCCTGCTTCATCCATACACATCTGCTTCATCCATACACATCTGCTTCATCCATACACGCCTGCTTCATCCATACATGTCTGCTTCATCCATACACATCTGCTTCATCCATATATGCCTGCTTCATCCATACATGCCTGCTTCATCCATACACATCTGCTTCATCCATACATGCCTGCTTCATCCATACACATCTGCTTCATCCATACATGCCTGCTTCATCCATACATGCCTGCTTCATCCATACACATCTGCTTCATCCATACATGCCTGCTTCATCTATACATGCCTGCTTCATCCATACATGCCTGCTTCATCCATACACATCTGCTTCATCCATACATGCCTGCTTCATCCATACACATCTGCTTCATCCATACATGCCTGCTTCATCCATACATGCCTGCTTCATCCATACATGCCTGCTTCATCCATACATGCCTGCTTCATCCATACATGCCTGCTTCATCCATACATGCCTGCTTCATCCATACATGCCTGCTTCATCCATACATGCCTGCTTCATCCATACATGCCTGCTTCATCCATACACATCTGCTTCATCCATACACATCTGCTTCATCCATATATGCCTGCTTCATCCATACATGCCTGCTTCATCCATACATGCCTGCTTCATCCATACATGCCTGCTTCATCCATACATGCCTGCTTCATCCATACACATCTGCTTCATCCATACATGCCTGCTTCATCTATACATGCCTGCTTCATCCATACATGCCTGCTTCATCCATACACATCTGCTTCATCCATACATGCCTGCTTCATCCATACATATCTGCTTCATCCATACATGCCTGCTTCATCCATACATGCCTGCTTCATCCATACATGCCTGCTTCATCCATACATGCCTGCTTCATCCATACATGCCTGCTTCATCCATACATGCCTGCTTCATCCATACACATCTGCTTCATCCATACACATCTGCTTCATCCATATATGCCTGCTTCATCCATACATGCCTGCTTCATCCATACATGCCTGCTTCATCCATACACATCTGCTTCATCCATACACATCTGCTTCATCCATACATGCCTGCTTCATCCATACATGCCTGCTTCATCCATACATGCCTGCTTCATCCATACATGCCTGCTTCATCCATACACATCTGCTTCATCCATACATGCCTGCTTCATCCATACATGCCTGCTTCATCCATACACATCTGCTTCATCCATACATGCCTGCTTCATCCATACATGCCTGCTTCATCCATACATGCCTGCTTCATCCATACATGCCTGCTTCATCCATACATGCCTGCTTCATCCATACATGCCTGCTCCATCCATACATGCCTGCTTCATCCATATATGCCTGCTTCATCCATACATGCCTGCTTCATCCATACGCATCTGCTTCATCCATACACATCTGCTTCATCCATATATGCCTGCTTCATCCATACATGCCTGCTTCATCCATACACATCTGCTTCATCCATACATGCCTGCTTCATCCATACATGCCTGCTTCATCCATATATGCCTGCTTCATCCATACATGCCTGCTTCATCCATATATGCCTGCTTCATCCATACACATCTGCTTCATCCATACATGCCTGCTTCATCCATATATGCCTGCTTCATCCATACACATCTGCTTCATCCATACATGCCTGCTTCATCCATATATGCCTGCTTCATCCATACATGCCTGCTTCATCCATATATGCCTGCTTCATCTACCATATGTACCTGTAGTAACCTGTCAGGGTTTTTTAGCAGATAAACTTGTGCAGCAGTTAAATGGTCCCAGCCAACTTGTAAGCTAAGTCCTGCTGTATGCTGAGCTATCTGTTGGGTTAGATCAAACTACATTAACAGAAAAGCACAATGACCTACAAAAGTGACAAGCATGATGACCTAGAAAACAGCATGATGACCTAGAAAAGTGACAAGCAAGATGACCTAGAAAACAGCATGACCTAGAAAAGTGACAAGCAAGATGACCTAGAAAACAGCAAGATGACCTAGAAAACAGACAAGCATGATGACCTACAAAAGTGCCAAGCAAGATGACCTAGAAAACAGCAAGATGACCTAGAAAACAGACAAGCATGATGACCTACAAAAGTGCCAAGCAAGATGACCTAGAAAACAGCAAGATGACCTAGAAAACAGACAAGCATGATGACCTACAAAAGTGACAAGCAAGATGACCTAGAAAACAGCAAGATGACCTAGAAAACAGACAAGCATGATGACCTACAAAAGTGACAAGCAAGATGACCTAGAAAACAGCAAGATGACCTAGAAAACAGACAAGCATGATGACCTACAAAAGTGACAATCAAGATGGCCTAGAAAACAGCAAGATGACCTAGAAAACATACAAGCATGATGACCTACCTTATTTGTGAGAATTGCCAGTTCTTGCTGTAGACCATACAGCCTACGCCATGCTAGCCTCAGTTTACCACACAAAAGAAGATGTTGGCCCATTTTTTCATGGGGTAACAAATCTCTTGATGGAGCAACTTTTTCATCTCTTGATGGAGCAAATCTTTCATCCTGTAATTATAATATTTCATGACATCATCAAAGGTGAATATGTTTTCAGAAGCTAGGCCTGTGCTCACGCAAGTTACCAGCTAGACCTGTGCTAATCCAAGTTACCAGCTAGACATGTGCTCACCCAAGTTACCAGCTAGACCTGTGCTCACCCAAGTTACCAGCTAGACCTGTGCTAATCCAAGTTACCAGCTAGACCTGTGCTCACCCAAGTTACCAGCTAGACCTGTGCTCACCCAAGTTACCAGCTAGACCTGTGCTCACCCAAGTTACCAGAAGCTAGACCTGTGCTCACCCAAGTTACCAGAAGCTAGACCTGTGCTCACCCAAGTTACCAGCTAGACCTGTGCTCACCCAAGTTACCAGAAGCTAGACCTGTGCTCACCCAAGTTACCAGAAGCTAGACCTGTGCTCACCCAAGTTACCAAAAGCTAGACCTGTGCTCACCCAAGTTACCAGCTAGACCTGTGCTAATCCAAGTTACCAGCTAGACCTGTGCTCACCCAAGTTACCAGCTAGACCTGTGCTCACCCAAGTTACCAGAAGCTAGACCTGTGCTCACCCAAGTTACCAGAAGCTAGACCTGTGCTCACACAAGTTACCAGCTAGACCTGTGCTCACCCAAGTTACCAGAAGCTAGACCTGTGCTCACCCAAGTTACCAGCTAGACCTGTGCTAATCCAAGTTACCAGCTAGACCTGTGCTCACCCAAGTTACCAGAAGCTAGACCTGTTATCACCCAAGTTACCAGAAGCTAGACCTGTGCTCACCCAAGTTACCAGAAGCTAGACCTGTGCTCACCCAAGTTACCAGAAGCTAGACCTGTGCTCACCCAAGTTACCAGCTAGACCTGTGCTCACCCAAGTTACCAGAAGCTGGACCTGTGCTCACCCAAGTTACCAGAAGCTGGACCTGTGCTCACCCAAGTTACCAGAAGCTAGACCTGTGCTCACCCAAGTTACCAGAAGCTAGACCTGTGCTCACCCAAGTTACCAGAAGCTAGACCTGTGCTCACCCAAGTTACCAGCTAGACCTGTGCTCACCCAAGTTACCAGAAGCTAGACCTGTTTTCAACTAAGTTACCAGCTAGACCTGTGCTCACCCAAGTTACCAGCTTGACCTGTGCTCACCCAAGTTACCAGAAGCTAGACCTGTGCTCACCCAAGTTACCAGAAGCTAGACCTGTGCTCACCCAAGTTACCAGAAGCTAGACCTGTGCTCACCCAAGTTACCAGAAGCTAGACCTGTGCTCACCCAAGTTACCAGCTAGACCTGTGCTCACCCAAGTTACCAGCTAGACCTGTGCTCACCCAAGTTACCAGAAGCTAGACCTGTGCTCACCCAAGTTACCAGCTAGACCTGTGCTCACCCAAGTTACCAGCTAGACCTGTGCTCACCCAAGTTACCAGAAGCTAGACCTGTGCTCACATAAGTTACCAGAAGCTAGACCTGTGCTCACCCAAGTTACCAGCTGGACCTGTGCTCACCCAAGTTACCAGCTAGACCTGTGCTCACCCAAGTTACCAGAAGCTAGACCTGTGCTCACCCAAGTTACCAGAAGCTAGACCTGTGCTCACCCAAGGTACCAGCTAGACCTGTGCTCACCCAAGTTACCAGAAGCTAGACCTGTGCTCACCCAAGTTACCAGAAGCTAGACCTGTGCTCACCCAAGTTACCAGAAGCTAGACCTGTGCTCACCCAAGTTACCAGCTAGACCTGTGCTCACCCAAGTTACCAGCTAGACCTGTGCTCACCCAAGTTACCAGCTAGACCTGTGCTCACCCAAGTTACCAGAAGCTAGACCTGTTCTCACCCAAGTTACCAGAAGCTAGACCTGTGCTCACCCAAGTTACCAGAAGCTAGACCTGTGCTCACCCAAGGTACCAGAAGCTAGACCTGTGCTCACCCAAGTTACCAGCTAGACCTGTGCTCACCCAAGTTACCAGAAGCTAGACCTGTGCTCACCCAAGTTACCAGAAGCTAGACCTGTGCTCACCTAAGTTACCAGAAGCTAGACCTGTGCTCACCCAAGTTACCAGCTAGACCTGTGCTCACCCAAGTTACCAGCTAGACCTGTGCTCACCCAAGTTACCAGAAGCTAGACCTGTGCTCACCCAAGTTACCAGAAGCTAGACCTGTGCTCACCCAAGTTACCAGCTAGACCTGTGCTCACCCAAGTTACCAGCTAGACCTGTGCTCACCCAAGTTACCAGAAGCTAGACCTGTGCTCACCCAAGTTACCAGCTAGACCTGTGCTCACCCAAGTTACCAGCTAGACCTGTGCTCACCCAAGTTACCAGAAGCTAGACATGTGAAATTTTCTTATCTTTTATGTGCCAACAAAAGTTCTTACCTGAAGAAGCTCCACATCTAATGGATTTGACCTTGTATAAATAATGTCTTCAATCAGGTTTGTTTTGTGAATCAGCCAGCCCAGCACTAACAAAAGTTGTCTGCTAGAACCTGACAAGACAAAATTTGTCTGCTAGAACCTAACAAAAGTTGTCTGCTAGAACCTGACAAAAGTTGTCTGCTAGAACCTGACAAAAGTTGTCTGCTAGAACCTGACAAGACAAAAGTTGTCTGCTAGAACCTGACAAAAGTTGTCTGCTAGAACCTGACAAAAGTTGTCTGCTAGAACCTGACAAAAGTTGACTGCTAGAACCTGACAAAAGTTGTCTGCTAGAACCTGACAAGACAAAAGTTGTCTGCTAGAACCTGACAAGACAAAAGTTGTCTGCTAGAACCTGACAAAAGTTGTCTGCTAGAACCTGACAAAAGTTGTTTGCTAGAACCTGACAAAAGTTGACTGCTAGAACCTGACAAAAGTTGTCTGCTAGAACCTGACAAGACAAAAGTTGTCTGCTAGAACCTGACAAAAGTTGTCTGCTAGAACCTGACAAAAGTTGTCTGCTAGAACCTGACAAAAGTTGACTGCTAGAACCTGACAGAAGTTGACTGCTAGAACCTGACAAATGTTGACTGCTAGAATCTGACAAAAGTTGTCTGCTAGAACCTGACAAAAGTTGTCTGCTAGAACCTGACAAAAGTTGTCTGCTAGAACCTGACAAAAGTTGTCTGCTAGAACCTGACAAAAGTTGTCTGCTAGAACCTGACAAAAGTTGTCTGCTAGAACCTGACAAAAGTTGTCTGCTAGAACCTGACAAGACAAAAGTTGTCTGCTAGAACCTAACAAAAGTTGTCTGCTAGAACCTGACAAGACAAAAGTTGACTGCTAGAACCTGAGAAGACAAAAGTTGACTGTTAGAACCTGACAAGACAAAAGTTGTCTGCTAGAACCTGACAAATGTTGACTGCTAGAACCAGACAAGACAAAAGTTGTCTGCTAGAACCTAACAAAAGTTGACTGTTAGAACCTGACAAGACAAAAGTTGTCTGCTAGAACCTGACAAATGTTGACTGCTAGAACCAGACAAGACAAAAGTTGTCTGCTAGAACCTGACAAAAGTTGTCTGCTAGAACCTGACAAAAGTTGACTGCTAGAACCTGACAAGACAAAAGTTGTCTGGTAGAACCTGACAAAAGTTGTCTGCTAGAACCTGACAAAAGTTGTTTGCTAGAACCTAAAAAGACAAAAGTTGTCTGCTTAAACCTGACAAGACAAAAGTTGTCTGCTAGAACCTGACAAGACAAAAGTTGTCTGCTAGAACCTGACAAAAGTTGTCTGCTAGAACCTGACAAGACAAAAGTTGACTGCTAGAACCTGACAAGACAAAAGTTGTCTGCTAGAACCTGACAAGACAAAAGTTGACTGCTAGAACCTGGCAAACGTTGTCTGCTAGAACCTGACAAGACAAAAGTTGTCTGCTAGAACCTGACAAGACAAAAGTTGACTGCTAGAACTTGACAAGACAAAAGTTGTCCACTAGAACCTGACAAAAGTTGCCTGCTAGAACCTGACAAATGTTGACTGCTAGAACCAGACAAGACAAAAGTTGACTGCTAGAACCTGACAAGACAAAAGTTGTCTGCTAGAACCTGACAAAAAATGTCTGCTAGAACCTGACAAGACAAAATTTGTCTGCTAGAACCTGACAAAAGTTGTCTGCTAGAACCTGACAAAAGTTGTCTGCTAGAACCTGACAAAAGTTGTCTGCTAGAACCTGACAAGACAAAAGTTGACTGCTAGAACCTGACAAGACAAAAGTTGACTGCTAGAACCTGACAAGACAAAAGTTGACTGCTAGAACTTGACAAGACAAAAGTTGTCCACTAGAACCTGACAAAAGTTGCCTGCTAGAACCTGACAAATGTTGACTGCTAGAACCAGACAAGACAAAAGTTGACTGCTAGAACCTGACAAGACAAAAGTTGTCTGCTAGAACCTGACAAAAAATGTCTGCTAGAACCTGACAAGACAAAATTTGTCTGCTAGAACCTGACAAAAGTTGTCTGCTAGAACCTGACAAAAGTTGTCTGCTAGAACCTGACAAAAGTTGTCTGCTAGAACCTGACAAAAGTTGTCTGCTACAACCTGACAAAAGTTGTCTGCTAGAACCTGACAAGACAAAAGTTGACTGCTAGAACCTGACAAGACAAAAGTTGTCTGCTAGAACCTGACAAAACAAAAGTTGACTGCTAGAACCTGGCAAACATTGTCTGCTAGAACCTGACAAGACAAAAGTTGTCTGCTAGAACCTGACAAGACAAAAGTTGTCTGCTAGAACCTGACAAGACAAAAGTTGACTGCTAGAACCTGGCAAACGTCTGCTAGAACCTGACAAGACAAAAGTTGTCTGCTAGAACCTGACAAGACAAAAGTTGACTGCTAGAACTTGACAAGACAAAAGTTGTCCGCTAGAACCTGACAAAAGTTGCCTGCTAGAACCTGACAAATGTTGACTGCTAGAACCAGACAAGACAAAAGTTGTCTGCTAGAACCTAACAAAAGTTGTCTGCTAGAACCTGACAAGACAAAAGTTGACTGCTAGAACCTGGCAAAAGTTGACTGCTAGAACCTGACAAAAGTTGTCTGCTAGAACCTGACAAGACAAAAGTTGACTGCTAGAACCTGACAAAAGTTGACTGCTAGAATCTGACAAAAGTTGTCTGCTAGAACCTGACAAAAGTTGACTGCTAGAATCTGACAAAAGTTGTTTGCTAGAACCTGAAAAGACAAAAGTTGTCTGCTTAAACCTGACAAGACAAAAGTTGACTGCTAGAACCTGACAAGACAAAAGTTGTCTGCTAGAACCTGACAAGAACAAAGTTGTCTGCTAGAACCTGACAAGACAAAAGTTGACGGCTAGAACCTGACAAGAACAAAGTTGTCTGCTAGAACCTGACAAAAGTTGTCTGCTAGAACCTGTCAAAAGTTGTCTGCTAGAACCTGACAAGACAAAAGTTGACTGCTAGAACCTGACAAGACAAAAGTTGTCTGCTAGAACCTGACAAGAAAAAAGTTGTCTGCTAGAACCTGACAAGACAAAAGTTGTCTGCTAGAACCTAGCAAACGTTGTCTGCTAGAACCTGACAAGACAAAAGTTGTCTGCTAGAACCTGACAAAAGTTGTCTGCTAGAACCTGACAAATGTTGACTGCTAGAACCAGACAAGACAAAAGTTGTCTGGTAGAACCTGACAAAAGTTGTCTGCTAGAACCTGACAAGACAAAAGTTGACTGCTAGAACCTGACAAGACAAAAGTTGTCTGCTAGAACCTGACAAGACAAAATTGTCTGCTAGAACCTGACAAGACAAAAGTTGACTGCTAGAACTTGACAAGACAAAAGTTGTCCACTAGAACCTGACAAAAGTTGCCTGCTAGAACCTGACAAATGTTGACTGCTAGAACCAGACAAGACAAAAGTTGACTGCTAGAACCTGACAAGACAAAAGTTGTCTGCTAGAACCTGACAAAAAATGTCTGCTAGAACCTGACAAGACAAAATTTGTCTGCTAGAACCTGACAAAAGTTGTCTGCTAGAACCTGACAAAAGTTGTCTGCTAGAACCTGACAAAAGTTGTCTGCTAGAACCTGACAAAAGTTGTCTGCTAGAACCTGACAAGACAAAAGTTGACTGCTAGAACCTGGCAAGACAAAAGTTGTCTGCTAGAACCTGACAAGACAAAAGTTGTCTGCTAGAACCTGACAAGACAAAAGTTGACTGCTAGAACCTGGCAAACGTTGTCTGCTAGAACCTGACAAGACAAAAGTTGTCTGCTAGAACCTGACAAGACAAAAGTTGACTGCTAGAACTTGACAAGACAAAAGTTGTCCGCTAGAACCTGACAAAAGTTGCCTGCTAGAACCTGACAAATGTTGACTGCTAGAACCAGACAAGACAAAAGTTGTCTGCTAGAACCTAACAAAAGTTGTCTGCTAGAACCTGACAAGACAAGAGTTGACTGCTAGAACCTGGCAAAAGTTGTCTGCTAGAACCTGACAAGACAAAAGTTGTCTGCTAGAACCTGACAAGACAAAAGTTGACTGCTAGAACCTGACAAAAGTTGACTGCTAGAACCTGACAAATGTTGACTGCTAGAATCTGACAAAAGTTGTCTGCTAGAACCTGACAAAAGTTGACTGCTAGAATCTGACAAAAGTTGTCTGCTAGAACCTAACAAAAGTTGACTGCTAGAACCTGACGACAAAAGTTGACTGCTAGAACTTGACAAGACAAAAGTTGTCCGCTAGAACCTGACAAAAGTTGCCTGCTAGAACCTGACAAATGTTGACTGCTAGAACCAGACAAGACAAAAGTTGTCTGTTAGAACCTAACAAAAGTTGTCTGCTAGAACCTGACAAGACAAAAGTTGACTGCTAGAACCAGACAAGACAAAAGTTGACTGCTAGAACCTGACAAAAGTTGTCTGCTAGAACCTGGCAAAAGTTGTCTGCTAGAACCAGACAAGACAAAAGTTGACTGCTAGAACCTGACAAGACAAATGTTGTCTGCTAGAACCTGACAAAAGTTGTCTGCTAGAACCTGACAAGACAAAAGTTGTCTGCTTAAACCTGACAAGACAAAAGTTGACTGCTAGAACCTGACAAGACAAAATTTGTCTGCTAGAACCTGACAAGACAAAAGTTGACTGCTTGAACCTGACAAGACAAAAGTTGACTGCTAGAACCTGGCAAAAGTTGACTGCTAGAACCTGACAAAAGTTGACTGCTAGAACCTGACAAAATTTGTCTGCTAGAACCTGACAAAAGTTGTCTGCTAGAAACTGACAAAAGTTGACTGCTAGAACCTGACAAGACAAAAGTTGACTGCTAGAACCTGGCAAACATTTTCTGCTAGAACCTGACAAGACAAAAGTTGTCTGCTAGAACCTGACAAGACAAAAGTTGTCTGCTAGAACCTGACAAGACAAAAGTTGACTGCTAGAACCTGGCAAACGTTGTCTGCTAGAACCTGACAAAAGTTGACTGCTAGAACCTGACAAAAGTTGTCTGCTAGAACCTGACAAGACAAAAGTTGTCTGCTAGAACCTGACAAGACAAAAGTTGTCTGCTAGAACCTGACAAGACAAAAGTTGACTGCTAGAACTTGACAAGACAAAAGTTGTCCGCTAGAACCTGACAAAAGTTGCCTGCTAGAACCTGACAAATGTTGACTGCTAGAACCAGACAAGACAAAAGTTGTCTGCTAGAACCTAACAAAAGTTGTCTGCTAGAACCTGACAAGACAAAAGTTGACTGCTAGAACCTGGCAAAAGTTGACTGCTAGAACCTGACAAAAGTTGACTGCTAGAACCTGACAAATGTTGACTGCTAGAATCTGACAAAAGTTGTCTGCTAGAACCTGACAAAAGTTGACTGCTAGAATCTGACAAAAGTTGTTTGCTAGAACCTGAAAAGACAAAAGTTGTCTGCTTAAACCTGACAAGACAAAAGTTGACTGCTAGAACCTGACAAGACAAAAGTTGTCTGCTAGAACCTGACAAAAGTTGTCTGCTAGAACCTGACAAAAGTTGTCTGCTAGAACCTGACAAGACAAAAGTTGACTGCTAGAACCTGACAATACAAAAGTTGTCTGCTAGAACCTGACAAGAAAAAAGTTGTCCGCTAGAACCTGGCAAACGTTGTCTGCTAGAACCTGACAAGACAAAAGTTGACTGCTAGAACCTGACAAAAGTTGTCTGCTAGAACCTGACAAGACAAAAGTTGTCTGCTAGAACCTGACAAGACAAAAGTTGACTGCTAGAACCTGACAAGACAAAAGTTGTCTGCTAGAACCTGACAAGAAAAAAGTTGTCTGCTAGAACCTGGCAAACGTTGTCTGCTAGAACCTGACAAGACAAAAGTTGTCTGGTAGAACCTGACAAGACAAAAGTTGACTGCTAGAACCTGACAAAAGTTGTCTGCTAGAACCTGACAAGACAAAAGTTGACTGCTAGAACCTGACAAGAAAAAAGTTGTCCGCTAGAACCTGGCAAACGTTGTCTGCTAGAACCTGACAAGACAAAAGTTGCCTGCTAGAACCTGACAAAAGTTGACTGCTAGAACCAGACAAGACAAAAGTTGACTGCTAGAACCTGACAAGACAAAAGTTGTCTGCTAGAACCTGACAAAAAATGTCTGCTAGAACCTGACAAGACAAAAGTTGACTGCTAGAACCTGACAAGACAAAAGTTGTCTGCTAGAACTTGACAAGACAAAAGTTGTCCACTAGAACCTGACAAAAGTTGCCTGCTAGAACCTGACAAAAGTTGACTGCTAGAACCAGACAAGACAAAAGTTGACTGCTAGAACCTGACAAGACAAAAGTTGTCTGCTAGAACCTGACAAAAAATGTCTGCTAGAACCTGACAAGACAAAATTTGTCTGCTAGAACCTGACAAAAGTTGTCTGCTAGAACCTGACAAAAGTTGTCTGCTAGAACCTGACAAAAGTTGTCTGCTAGAACCTGACAAAAGTTGTCTGCTAGAACCTGACAAGACAAAAGTTGACTGCTAGAACCTGACAAGACAAAAGTTGTCTGCTAGAACCTGACAAGACAAAAGTTGACTGCTAGAACCTGGCAAAAGTTGTCTGCTAGAATCTGACAAAAGTTGTCTGCTAGAACCTGACAAATGTTGACTGCTAGAACCTGACAAAAGTTGACTGCTAGAACCTGACAAATGTTGACTGCTAGAATCTGACAAAAGTTGTCTGCTAGAACCTGACAAAAGTTGACTGCTAGAATCTGACAAAAGTTGTCTGCTAGAACCTGACAAGACAAAAGTTGTCTGCTTGAACCTAACAAAAGTTGACTGCTAGAACCTGACGACAAAAGTTGACTGCTAGAACTTGACAAGACAAAAGTTGTCCGCTAGAACCTGACAAAAGTTGCCTGCTAGAACCTGACAAATGTTGACTGCTAGAACCAGACAAGACAAAAGTTGTCTGTTAGAACCTGGCAAAAGTTGTCTGCTAGAACCAGACAAGACAAAAGTTGACTGCTAGAACCTGACAAGACAAATGTTGTCTGCTAGAACCTGACAAAAGTTGTCTGCTAGAACCTGACAAGACAAAAGTTGTCTGCTTAAACCTGACAAGACAAAAGTTGACTGCTAGAACCTGACAAGACAAAATTTGTCTGCTAGAACCTGACAAGACAAAAGTTGACTGCTAGAACCTGGCAAAAGTTGACTGCTAGAACCTGACAAGACAAAATTTGTCTGCTAGAACCTGACAAGACAAAAGTTGTCTGCTTAAACCTGACAAGACAAAAGTTGACTGCTAGAACCTGACAAGACAAAATTTGTCTGCTAGAACCTGACAAGACAAAAGTTGACTGCTAGAACCTGGCAAAAGTTGTCTGCTAGAACCTGACAAGACAAAAGTTGACTGCTTGAACCTGACAAGACAAAAGTTGACTGCTAGAACCTGACAAGACAAAAGTTGACTGTTAGAACCTGACAAAGGTTGACTGCTAGAACCTGACAAATGTTGACTGCTAGAATCTGACAAAAGTTGTCTGCTAGAACCTGACAAATGTTGACTGCTAGAATCTGACAAAAGTTGTCTGCTAGAACCTGACAAAAGTTGTCTGCTAGAACCTGACAAATGTTGACTGCTAGAATCTGACAAAAGTTGTCTGCTAGAACCTGACAAAAGTTGTCTGCTAGAACCTGACAAATGGTGACTGCTAGAACCAGACAAGACAAAAGTTGACTGCTAGAATCTGACAAAAGTTGTCTGCTAGAACCTGACAAAAGTAGACTGCTTGAACCAGACAAGACAAAAGTTGTCTGCTAGAACCTGGCAAAAGTTGTCTGCTAGAACCTGACAAAAGTTGACTGCTAGAACCTGACAAAAGTTGTCTGCTAGAACCTGACAAGACAAAAGTTGTCTGCTAGAACCTGAAAAAAGTTGACTGCTAGAACTTGACAAAAGTTGTCTGCTAGAACTTGACAAGACAAAAGTTGACTGCTAGAACCTGACAAAAGTTGACTGCTAGAACCGGACAAAAGTTGACTGCTAGTGCCTGACTCAATTTTTAGTAGACAAAATTACAAGCTGCCATCTATTTATAAACTTTTTATTTAAATTGAAACAAAAATCATTTAATGAGAACAAAGATGCTTTAGATCACAGTGACATAAAACGTAAAAAAAAAATCTTATCAAAATACCTGAAAATGTTTCAAGCTTGTTCAGTTTCAACTTGAACATTTTATGATTTGAACAGTAGTAGACAATGTCAGAGACAAGATTCCACATTTCTCTCGTCTACATCAAACAAATCAGAAAAAAAACAATGTCCTGTTTAAAAAAATACATAAATATACTCTGTTCATCACCAAACATCCCCCAAAAAACCCAGAAGCTAACAAGAACATGGCGATATAAACAAACAAACAAACAAACCCAGAAGCTAATAAGAACATGGTGATATAAACAAACAAACAAACAAACAAACCCAGAAGCTAATAAGAACATGGTGATATAAACAAACAAACCCAGAAGCTAATAAGAACATGGTGATATAAACAAACAAACAAACAAACCCAGAAGCTAATAAGAACATGGTGATATAAACAAACAAACAAATAAACAAACCCAGAAGCTAATAAGAACATGGTGATATAAACAAACAAACAAACAAACAAACCCAGAAGCTAATAAGAACATGGTGATATAAACAAACAAACAAACCCAGAAGCTAATAAGAACATGGTGATATAAACAAACAAACCCAGAAGCTAATAAGAACATGGTGATATAAACAAACAAACAAACAAACCCAGAAGCTAATAAGAACATGGTGATATAAACAAACAAACCCAGAAACTAATAAGAACATGGTGATATAAACAAACAAACAAACAAACAAACCCAGAAGCTAATAAGAACATGGTGATATAAACAAACAAACAAACAAACCCAGAAGCTAATAAGAACATGGTGATATAAACAAACAAACAAACAAAACCAGAAGCTAATAAGAACATGGTGATATAAACAAACCCAGAAGCTGATAGATCAAACATGATGATATAAACAAATAAACCTGTAAACTAATGGACCAAATATTCTACTTGTTTCATAAAGTTGTGGCCTAATAATTTTAAACTATGTAATATTCAACTCACACAACCATCCTTATTAAATTTAGCTTGGCGTAATGTTTCTGCACGAATGGTGGTTATGTTGTTTTCTTCAAGAATTGTGCAGAGTAATTCTATAACAGATCTCACTTGCCTGGAGCCTTGTTGACCATCAGAGGCCATTCAAGTGGGGATCTATGGGCAAAAACAACTCAAAACTATATGCATCACAAACCTACATCACAAACCTACATCACAAACCTACATCACAAACCTACATCACAAACCTGCATTACAAACCTGCATCACAAACCTGCATCACAAACCTACATCACAAACCTGCATCACAAACCTGCATCACAAACCTACATCACAAACCTACATCACAAACCTACATCACAAACCTACATCACAAAACTACATCATTTACTACACATCATTTATTCTACAAAATAAAAATCTTTAAAGGCCTATGTACATTTATCTATCCATAATAAAACAGTAAAATAGGTACAGTTGGTAGATCTAGGTCTTTCTAAGAAATAAAGAAGTCTGTAGGCCAAATCAGCTTAAAGATAAATAAGGCATAAGTGATGCCCAAAGTTATCAATGTTTATTGGTAGTAGACTATTAGTATAATATGATAAAACCTAGTTTATAGTTTCAAAACATTACTCATGAGATCTTTTACATATTTTAGCAACCAAAGCTCATTTTCTTATTTTTAGTGCATGTAAAAGCTTGCTATTAGAAAGATTTTTTTTTTTAAAAATATATGTTTTATTTTCTATTTTTTAGTAATTATAATCTGTATTTACCAATGCTGCAACTAAAAATATTTGCTTTAAAAGATCATTAATAGCTCATGAAAGGTGATTATAAACATTATAAACATTCTCGTGAACCACAGCTGATCAGACTGTTAGGGTGATAGTAATCTATCGAGTGGTTTAATTTTGTTATCTCCCCTTAATTTCAACACCGTTTAATTAATTTAAACGAATTAAAATGCTACTTAAATTAAAAAACAAACAGACAGACTTGTATTGTCATCGAAACGCATCTGGAAAGGTTGAACTAAATCGTGTGTTGGGAAATTGCGAGACGCAAAACGGCGAGGCGGTAAACTTCTAGAAGAAAATGCAAGACATACCTGTGGAATGACGGGTAAATAGCGAGACACAGTTTGCGAAAAAAAGTTTGTTTCATGCGTTTTGGTGTTATTTTTAATAGTTATAGACTAGAGAAGCTGATATATCCTGAATGTTGTATGCTGTTCTTTATATTAAAAAATCTTAACATCCTATGACCGCCGTTTTCTTGTCAGCGGATAGAAGGGTCAGTATGAGTTCATAAAGAAAATATTATTTAGGCTATATTTTTAAAATCTATATCTAGATATTCAAAATTCGAAACATTGTCGTCCGCGTCTCACCCGCTCACGAGAGAAAAAAATAAACCGCTGTTTGAGGGGTCACAGTCAGTGCATATAAAAACTGAAACATAGGTCGGTATACATTTCTAGCCGTCCAACTTTTACTTATTAAGTCAACATCATGACAAGACACTGTGCGACCTTAATATGTTACTTGCTGTCTTGATTTTTTTAGGGGAAAAAGTATACCCGCATGCCGCAACGTCATTCAAGGTCAACACCTCGACGTATTATTTTTTGCTCGGTTTCAATGAATATACAGCCCTCCCCCCTATTTTCCGTTTAAAAAAAAATTACTAACGTTGTCAGGGTCAAAAGTGTAACGTTTGATTCAAGAAAGGGAGCGGTGGTATTGAAACAACGCAGCAGTTTCTTAATAGTAAAAATAAATTATACAGTAAATTTGAAATCTGATTATATTGGAATATATTACTGTTTTGAGTTTATATTTAACTCAATGCAACAAACCCGTAGCTTGGTTGAGGTCACACCATTTTGCTAAGTAATAAAACAAAATTACTTTCCAACAATACAATATGTTTGTGGCTGCAGGCTGCCCCAGTGTTCCACACAAAAGAAATAAGTTGATCTATCGTCGACAGTATTTCAGGCGGTTTAGAACAAGATGGTATTCTAAGTCCACACAAAAGATGGTGAAGTTGACAAATAATCAGAATGCCTAGCGATGAAAAATCAGAAGTTTTAACCATGTAAACTATTGTAAACGAAACGTCTTTGAAGTCTGCATCAAATATCATTGTAAATCGGTCGCAGTAAAATTTTCACAGATAGCTTTGTATCCTACCACCACCCTGCGTTAGTATCGGGGTGGTGGTAAAATGCGAGGCAAAAATGTCACGTGACCGACAGCTTTTGCGCCCTTCTCGCCTATTTTGCATTTCCCAATTTCCCAACACCCAACTAAATCGCTGCATTGCCAGTCAACTGTGTCAAAAAATGAGTTACAAGATTTGCCACAAACGTTTATAACAGATGTAAATAAAAGCTTGTAAAAAACAACTAGATCTAGATCTATGTAGTAATTTGTACGCAACTCACAACTTTGCTGATAAAATTTTATTAAAATAAAATAACTATTTTAAAACCGCTTGAAATAACCTGTTGGATTATTATAGATATTGGTGTCCGATAATGGAATCTTCTTTAAAAAGGGGTATTGTATTTTAATTTAGTTAAAAACGCGGTAGAAAATTTAACTATAAAAAAAAAATTTAGGCACATTTTGCCGTAGGCTATTCTCTGGTCGGCCTCTCCTCAGTAGGCATTGTCCGAACATATTTTGTGTTGTTGACGTCATGCGTCAATGACAGCATTCGAACCTTGTCGGCTTTCTTTTTTGATCCTAAGTGTTGTTATGTAATGAGCGTGATAAATGTGGGCAGTAAAGGTGGTTGAACTAAACATCTAAACATAACTATTGTGGCCATGAGTTGAGGGCAGCAAGTCAGACGAACTTACCATTTCACGGTAATTTAATATTGGTATTTTAAAAAAAACAGGATTAAAACCGTGGACTTTGGAGCATTCTATTAAACGCTACTAATCTTAAGTTTAAAATAATTACAATCAACATACTTCATACTAAATATTTTTAGATGAATTATAAAAATTCCTATGCGTATACAGCCTACACACATTACATTACATTTAATTAATCCTAAGTTAATTTGCACTCTCTGAATATTTAATACATAAAAGTATTAACAAGATTCATGCAAATATATATTTGTGACTTTTTTTCCTGTGACTTTTTTTCCTGTTTTTTTTTCCTGTGACTTTTTTCCTACAATCAAACTAACACCCCTTTATTAAAGAAGTATTCATATATACTAATTAATTAACTTGTCCAGTATTTATATATTTATTTTATCCTGGACAGTCTGCTCAAATACTATACTGGACTGTCCAGTTCAAAACTGGACACCTGGCAACCCTACTAGCTACGTTGGAATTTACGACGCTAAACTAAGATTTTACCATAAGCATAAAGATAAACCTAATGTTTTGTTTTCCTAACAACGTTTTCGTGTGTTTTGGTTGTGTTTATAAATAAAATACGCTCAACTGGAGGTTAACGTGAAACGGGGAATAAAATACGCTAGTAAAATGGAGTTTTACCGTAGATTCTTATTTCAGATTAGATAGATCTAGATCTAGACTAGATCTAGATTGTAGGCCTAAATCTAGACTAGATCTAGATCTAGATGATGTACTAGATTCTAAGTATAATATGGTATGACAGTGTGTACTGTTCTGGCACTTGCATTCGCTTTTTATTTTAAGGATAGTACTGAGAATCGAAAAAAAAAATAGATTTATGTTCTAGCCTAGCCTGCATAAGTACGGTTAAACCATAGTCTTAGGCTAGCAATTTAGTTTGTTAGATCTCTATTCAACATGGCGGACACCAATGTGGTAGCTACTGAAGAAAATGTTCCCGTAGTTAACGCTAACGAGCAGGTAGGCTAGTTGATCTAGACACTAATCTAGTAGTAGATCTCTAGAATCTTTTTGGGTAATATTATATCGTTCTAGGACCATAAAATCAGTGGAAAATGTTAAGTATTGTAAGTAGGGACTTGGAGAGAATTTCAATTCTAAAAAAAAATAGGCCTAATAGGTAGGCTTATTGGGAATTTCCTAATTATCATAGAATGATAAAATGGACCCAGATTAATCCTATAATATACCCCATTGATAAAAATATCAAAATTATCATTCTAGGCCTAATAGTTTTTTTTATATGAATTTTCAAAGTTATGTGTTTAACTTATGTTTCATTGTAACCTGCATTCCAGACGTGTGATTGGCTTTAAACTTGCATACCAATGTTGCTATTAAAGATATAATGATAAAACTTTGCACATTTGTACTCAATGATATAGGCAATAGAAGTCTACAAATAAAATAAAAATTAGAAAAGAGGTAACTAGAAATAATGAAGTTAAATTAAGGGGTGCGGCACTGTTCTATACTGACTGCCATAAGAGGATTTCCAGACTGCACAGCTAGGTTGCTATTACATTTTATACTGGCATATACCATCATGAAACTTTATATATTAGGACTAGAGCATGTAAAAAATACAATCATGCAAGTAAAATAAACATAGCTAGAGGAAAACTATAAATAGTGAACTTGAATATGGTACAGCGCAATTAGACTATGATGATTAACTACAGGCTAATATGACAATATGTTGCATTTATTTGTTGCTACTATAAAAATAAAGATTAAACTTTACATATTGATTCTGGTGTTAGTAATAAGAATGCTAGTATACATATTGTACAGGTAATGTATAGAGTTAGAACTTACAAGTCAAATACAGCACAATATGATCAAGATACTTAACGATTTGCCATAAACATTGGATTTGTGTCTGTGTATAACATGGTAAAAATGTTATTATTAATTTAGAAAATTTTGGTTCTTGTAATGTTTCTGATGAAAAGTGTTGAGAAGAGCTAAAGCTCAAAGATTGACATTTCACAGTATTCTTATTTATAAAATGTTTACTGAAGTTGACGTATCCTTTGATAAATTCTTAAATGACATTAATTAAAGTGTTAATGTTTTCTTTCTATTATAGTTGCCTCCTATAACTAAAACTGTAATGCAGTGCAGCTTATAAAATTGGGCATTATTATTTTTAATTTAGGCCATTTAGTACTTTATAAAGTTTATAGATCTAGATACTACAGATAGGCCTGTCAGTATTTACATTAAGGCCTAATAGTTTATATATATTATTACACATCTCTAGACCCATTATTGTTTTAGTGTTTTCATTTCCATTTAGATCTAGATTCTATTTTTTTTAAAACTGTTTACAATAAATATAGATTTTGTCTACTTGAAAATGCCTTTATAATATATTTATCTGCAATTCGTTAATGCTAGTTTGCTAGATCTAGTTAACCTAGTATTAAGAAGGTTAATAAAAATCTGGCTAATTTAAAATTTTATAATTTATTTAGGCAGCAATTAGGCCTAATTACATTCTTTCCATTTTTAATCCAATAATTTAGATCTACAGTATATTTATTTTAAAGCCCATTTTATTGTAACAGTCCATTTAAAAACAAACAGCTATTAAAAAACATCGTATGCGCATATCTATTAATATCTCGTAACCCGGCCGCCATTATGAAATTACGCACGCTTTCTCGTTCCTACCCCTACGAGTTTTATCGCGCTACTCCTCATTGGCCCGTGCTTAAAAACCCTTCAAATCGACATTTCTATTTATCCAAATAGTTGGCATGCTATTTAAGCCTATTTTCATGCAACTTAAAGGATTATTTATATCTGAAATTTAGTTGTCAATGCGCCAGTTCGGTAGCGTCGGCATTTCGACAAATATTTGCTATTATCGTGATCGCTTTCGGTATCGGACAATGTAAAACGGGAGCTAATTCATTTATTAGTATGTATAAAAGATGAAATTCAACTCAAATATTCACATCGAATACATTTTATTCTTCGATTCCGATGGCGAGAATTAACATGTTAAAAAATGACGAATTTCAACAAGTACGATGAAAAAGTCAGGATGTGGTCGTACCGAATCGAAACAGCGGAAGTCGAAATGCCTATAATAGGGGTAATGTAATAGAATCTAGTAATAGCAGCATCTGATAGAGCTCATTTAGAATCTAGAAAGGAACAAAGATACTTTCATTTTAATTTTAGCTTAAACGGTTACAAAGTTATGATTTTTAAACGTATTTAATTTTCAGGGTTATTTTATTATGGGATTTTCCAATTTTTTGCTTTCCTATTTTTTGGACGTGAATAAAAAACTTTGTAACCTTTTAATTAGCAGGTATTTTTTTAATGAAAATTCACTAGGATCAAGCTTATCATATCAGTAAAAGAGTAAAATAACAATAGGGGCCTAATTGTAGGCATTCCATTAAAAAAATTAAAATTGGCTAATTAAATGTATGAGCATTGCAAAAATATTGTGCTTGATGTAACTAGAATAACACTGAAAAAATTTTCTTTCTAGCTTCAGTAGTTTTTAGCGCAATTTCCATTCTGGAGAATTGCGTTTATTAACTCGTCATTTCTGGGAATGGATGGATGGATGGATGAATGAATGAATGGATGAATGTGTGTCCGGGCTTTAAGTCGTATCTCCTCCTCAACGAAGCAATATCGATGACTAGTTCCAAAAGCAATTATGTTAAGCAAGTTACGAGAATGAGCATAGGCCATAAAAATTCCGGGTTTCTTTCATGTATTTCCCGTAAAAGCCAAAAAACCTCGAAAAAATGCAGTTTTTGGCCCATATCTCGGCAACCAGACCACTTAGCGACTTGAAACATGTACCAATCGATTCCTGCCATAATTTAGAACAATATTGCCGAAGAAAGTTTTCAAAAATATCCTCTCGTTCGGTCACAAATTTTAAAACTACATAAACACCTACAAACCGATCGCTCTTCTAGCTTGAACGCACCCCATCATTATACGTCAGAGCTATTTTTAGATAACATAAGGAAATTGCGCATAAATGTCACTAGACTTTTTTAATTAACTTGCGCGCCTACTGAACGTGATGGCGCAGCCATGGAACGCGATGACGCATCTATTGAACGTGATGACGCGTGTGGTGTGGTTGTATATACATGCCGGAAGTAGAGATCTATCATCTTAATGATTATCATGTTGATAATCAAGTTCAACTAACCAATGGTTTTAATAACCCTGCTCTTGATTTCAAGGTGCTTAGTTTAGTTAGTAGTTAGGTTTATTTAATAAAAAACGTTTTAATAACTAACCAATGGTTTTACTAACCCTGCTCTTGATTTACGCTACGACAGAGCTATTTTTAGATAACATAAGGAAATTGCGCTAAAATTGTCACTAGACTTTTTAATTAACTTGTTTTTTTAATGAATTTTTTACGTAATGGGTGAATGTCCACTATATTTCTTTGTAAGTCATGAAAATCACTGTCCCCTAACTTTGAAATAGCACTGCTCAGTTATTTTTAAAGAATAGGCCTAAGTGGTAATCTATCGTTTTAGGTAAGTAAAATCGCCCACGACTAGCAATGTGAAAACAGGTGACTCCTTAAATTTTAATAATTATTTCACATTTTGAGGAGGATTTATGTTTTGAAAAATACAAAAATATTTCCTTATTTTATTTATATACCTGTTTTAAACAACTGAATTAAAACTATTCAGTGATAAATGAAGACTAGCTATGTTTCCAACCGATGCAACCATGCTCATTTACTATAGTAGCCGTCTTGTTTATTTTTTTCTTATTGTAAACTTATAGCGCAAGATTCAGGGGAAGCCACTCTAACTTACAGATGGCCGCTTTTTATATAGCAAATCCTGCTCGCAAACACTGCTGTTTAAAGTTAATTTCTTGCCTATATTGATATATTTAGCCATTGATTAAGGTTTATTATTCATGTATCTATAATATTTGACACAAATATATCACAATATACTTCTATTAAAGCCTTGACAACGAGGTGACTTTTTCATACATTACTAGCCGCGGGCGATTTTAAGTACCTAAAACGATAGATTACCAGATCTCTAGATCTAGTAGCTAAGACTAGGAGTAACGATTGTACAGTAGGAAAAAAAGTCACAGGAAAAAAAAAACAGAAAAAAAGTCACAAATACATATTTGCATGGAATTTGTTATTACTTTTATGAATTATATATTCAGAGAGTGCAAATTAACTTAGGATTAATTAAATGTAATGTGTGTAGTTTAGGGACTTGGATGAAATTTTAATTTAAAAAAAAATGTAATAGCACCAGTTTATAGAGCTCATTTATGCAAGAACAAAGATACTTTCATTTTAATTTTAGCTTAAACAGTTACGGAGTTATGAATTTTTAACATATTTAATTTTCAGGGTTATTTTATTATGGGATTTTCCAATTTTTTGCTTCCCTATTTTTTGGACGTGAATAAAAAACTTGTGTAACTTTTTAATTAGCAGGTATTTTTTAATGAAAATTCACTAGGATCAAGCTTATGATATCAGTAAAAGAGTAAGATAAAAATAATTGAAGTGGATTTGAATCAACATTAAAAATAATGTTAACAAAGAGGGTCACCCCCCTAAAAAATTTTAATAAGCGTCTTTTATAGGCAACACACAATCTGTTGCCAAATTTTTATTATATGGAATATCTTACTGAGGTAAAAATTTAGAGAAAACCCTTGATATTTCATAGTATCCTCCGCCAACCAATCAAACGCGCTTTCAAAGCGTTTTGGTTGGCGGCTGACGTCACGCGACCCGTAAACACAGCGTTTTTGGAGCTAAAAAGGGCAGAAAAAGCCATTTTTTTTCTACGTATAGTTCGGATTTTTTACGTTTTTTAAAATGGGCCAAAAAATGACCCTTTTAAAAATAGACAGCCATTTTTTGAAGAATTAATTTAAAAAAGGGCCGTTTTGAGCTATGTTTTGATGTAAACAAAGTTTTGACATGGGTTAAGCTACAAAATATTTTTTTTTTTCCTTCTATAGCTTTACTTTTTTTCTCAATCCATTTCAACAGCAGCAACAACCGCGACCAAATGGGTGGTCCATTTTTAAAACACTTGCTATACGGATGGTGTTCATCTACTTCATTGCTAGCATGTTCAGGCGATCCCCTCAGCCTCAGGACACCACCACTGTAGATGGTCAATCTGGACAAACCCTCAAACCATCCTCTAATGTGTTTGAAAAATTTACAAACATGGTAAGTGGTATAGGCTAGATTTTTATATGACCAGACTAATGAAAGGGAAAGGCAGACAATGAAAAATGTTAGAGAGCCATTGGGCATTGAAACTAGATGAAGATATGGCTCCAGAGTGTTTGGTTATTAGATAAGATTTAGGGGGCAGTTGGTTGATAGGTTATAAGACAAGAGGAAGCATTGATTTTAGTGTTGGGGGCAGTTGGTTGATAGGCTATAAGACAAGAGGAAGCATTGATTTTAGTGTTGGGGGCAGTTGGTTGATAGTTTATAAGACAAGAGGAAGCATTGATTTTAGTGTTACACTTAGGGGGAGGTTGAAAGAACAAAAGTCTTTCTCATTACATGCAGGTTAAATTTCTAGTTATAGTATAGATATAGAAACCTTTTGACAGCATTATCTTTCAAACTCACCAGGGTTTGTATATTTAATTAAAATATCTATAGATATTAGCTTTTCCTTCGCTGCCATTCCTGTGGTTCCCAAAGAAAGACTGATGTAATATTTTAAGAGTATTTCATCAATGTGTTATCATTCATATATATTTAGACGGGTGACCTTGTTTTCAATTTCAATATAAACAAAACAGTTGCTATATGTCTTGGATCATAGTTCTTGGGGTCCGGGTTTGTCCACACAAACTGACCAATTTACACATGGGCCAGACCCAATGACATCACACAAACTGACCAATTTACACGTGGGCCAGACCCAATGACATCACACAAACTGACCAATTTACACGTGGGTCAGACCAAATGACATCACACAAACTGACCAATTTACACGTGGGTCAGACCAAATGACATCACACAAACTGACCAATTTACACGTGGGTCAGACCCAATGACATCACACAAACTGACCAATTTACACGTGGGCCAGACCTGATGACATCACACAAACTGACCAATTTACACGTGGGCCAGACCCAATGACATCACACAAACTGACCAATTTACACGTGGGCCAGACCTGATGACATCACACAAACTGACCAATTTACACGTGGGCCAGACCCAATGACATCACACAAACTGACCAATTTACACGTGGGCCAGACCTAATGACATCACACAAACTGACCAATTTACACGTGGGTCAGACCAAATGACATCACACAAACTGACCAATTTACACGTGGGTCAGACCCAATGACATCACACAAACTGACCAATTTACACGTGGGCCAGACCTGATGACATCACACAAACTGACCAATTTACACGTGGGCCAGACCCAATGACATCAAATTTGACTTAGTTGGATGTTTAATTAATTTTTTCAAGAATTAATTAAAATTTCCTATATAAAGTACTATATTCCATGCTATTATATGCACATTGTTGTTCATGTTCATTTGGTGTGCAATGTTTTTTAGTCATACATATACAAGTCTATTGGGTTAACAATTTTAAAGTACTGAAAAAATTCATAAACATTTTAATACGTTTTTATGTAATAATGTACTAAAAAGAAGAAAATAAACGATTTTCATTAAATATATAATAATTGCACCACTATTTAAATAACCAGAGAAAAGTGTGGTTTGCATCTTAAAATTTGAGTGATTTTATTCAATACATAATTTTTTAACATAGTGATAGAATTGCTCAAGTTACTGGTGATGGTTTAGATTCCAGTTCAATTTAGTCTTTTAAGGAAAGCAAAACTTTTCTTTTTGTACAAAAGTTATATTTTATTCTCTTCATCTTTATAGATATTTCAGAAAAGAATAATTTTAATAAATCATTCTACATTCGTTTTCATTGCACTGTACACATGCAGGGTTTCTTTCATGCAAGTTAATTCACATGGAGATAACTCAAATATTTCATTTGTGTAGATCACCCTTTATTAAAATGTACAATGAATCAATCCACCTTTGTTTCTTCCAAAGGATATGTATGTTTACATATCAGAGCAAGAAATTTTTACTGATTTCAAAAATGAAAAAGCACTTTTCTGGTTGGAAAAGGGATTAGTGTATGGTGACTGGACAGAAGGAGCAAATGAAGATGGCACATTTGAAATGTTTGGGCAGGTGGAAATATCTCAGGTAAGGTTGCTTCAGCTCTTTTCATTTATGACACATTTTTCCATTAGTCTTAGTCTGTGTGAACTATAAATATGGCCTTTGTCTTTGGGTGAGTATAAGTGCAAGGTTTATAGGGTGAGTATAGGTGCAAGGGTTATAGGGTGAGTATAGGTGCAAGGTTTATAGGGTGAGTATAGTTGCAAGGTTTATAGGGTCAGCATAGCAAGGTTTATAGGATGAGTATAGTTGCAAGGTTTATAGGGTCAGTATAGGTGCAAGGTTTATAGGGTGAGTATAGGTGCAAGGTTTATAGGGTGAGTATAGGTGCAAGGTTTATAGGGTCAGTATAGGTGCAAGGTTTATAGGGTCAGTATAGTTGCAAGGTTTATAGGGTCAGTATAGGTGCAAGGTTTATAGGGTCAGTATAGCAAGGTTTATAGGGTCAGTATAGTTGCAAGGTTTATAGGGTCAGTATAGGTGCAAGGTTTATAGGGTCAGTATAGGTGCAAGGTTTATAGGGTCAGTATAGGTGCAAGGTTTATAGGGTCAGTATAGTTGCAAGGTTTATAGGGTCAGTATAGGTGCAAGGTTTATAGGGTCAGTATAGGTGCAAGGTTTATAGGGTCAGTATAGGTGCAAGGTTTATAGGATGAGTATAGGTGCAAGGTTTATAGGGTCAGTATAGGTGCAAGGTTTATAGGGTCAGTATAGCAAGGTTTATAGGGTCAGTATAGTTGCAAGGTTTATAGGGTCAGTATAGTTGCAAGGTTTATAGGATGAGTATAGGTGCAAGGTTTATAGGGTGAGTATAGGTGCAAGGTTTATAGGGTGAGTATAGGTGCAAGGTTTATAGGGTCAGCATAGCAAGGTTTAAGTGTAAGACTAGCAGAGATGTCTTTTTTGCGTTATTATCCCAAAATCCGCTTTTTCTGTTTGAGAACAATTTTTTGCCACAATAATTCAATATTTTCCACCTACCGACTTTTTTAAAAGTAATTAACTCTCACTATTATGCAATACCATATTTTGCAATATTAAGGAGTTTATCCTTTGTGTTTAAGATTACCTTAATCTCCAGTCGCTAGGACCCAATGGTTCACCTTATAAGGGTAGCAACTAGCATCGTCTCTTGAATTTTCCGCCTTATTTCATGTGGGCGATAATGCCAGCCGCCCTGGACTTCATTCTTCAAATATTGTCTAAATAGGAACTATGTAGTAATATATTTTGCTATATTAAAATCCTTGTTTGTCTGCCTTTTTGATGTCTGCCTGTAGTCAGTGTTGGCCTTTTGTCAGTGTTGGCCTTTTGTCCACCTATTGGATGTCAGCCTTTTGTCAGTGTTGGCCTTTTGTCAGTGTTGGCCTTTTGTCCACCTATTGGATGTCAGCCTTTTGTCAGTGTTGGCCTTTTGTCAGTGTTGGCCTTTTGTCAGTGTTGGCCTTTTGTCAGTGTTGGCCTTTTGTCAGTGTTGGCCTTTTGTCAGTGTTGGCCTTTTGTCAGTGTTGGCCTTTTGTCAGTGTTGGCCTTTTGTCAGTGTTGGCCTTTTGTCAGTGTTGGCCTTTTGTCAGTGTTGGCCTTTTGTCAGTGTTGGCCTTTTGTCCACCTATTGGATGTCAGCCTTTTGTCAGTGTTGGCCTTTTGTCAGTGTTGGCCTTTTGTCAGTGTTGGCCTTTTGTCAGTGTTGGCCTTTTGTCAGTGTTGGCCTTTTGTCAGTGTTGGCCTTTTGTCAGTGTTGGCCTTTTGTCAGTGTTGGCCTTTTGTCAGTGTTGGCCTTTTGTCCACCTATTGGATGTCAGCCTTTAGTCAGTGTTGGCCTTTTGTCAGTGTTGGCCTTTTGTCAGTGTTGGCCTTTTGTCAGTGTTGGCCTTTTGTCAGTGTTGGCCTTTTGTCAGTGTTGGCCTTTTGTCAGTGTTGGCCTTTTGTCAGTGTTGGCCTTTTGTCAGTGTTGGCCTTTTGTCAGTGTTGGCCTTTAGTCAGTGTTGGCCTTTTGTCAGTGTTGGCCTTTTGTCAGTGTTGGCCTTTTGTCCACCTATTGGATGTCAGCCTTTAGTCAGTGTTGGCCTTTTGTCAGTGTTGGCCTTTTGTCAGTGTTGGCCTTTTGTCAGTGTTGGCCTTTTGTCAGTGTTGGCCTTTTGTCCACCTATTGGATGTCAGCCTTTAGTCAGTGTTGGCCTTTTGTCAGTGTTGGCCTTTTGTCAGTGTTGGCCTTTTGTCAGTGTTGGCCTTTTGTCCACCTATTGGATGTCAGCCTTTAGTCAGTGTTGGCCTTTTGTCAGTGTTGGCCTTTTGTCAGTGTTGGCCTTTTGTCCACCTATTGGATGTTGGCCTTTTGTCAGTGTTGGCCTTTTGTCAGTGTTGGCCTTTTGTCAGTGTTGGCCTTTTGTCAGTGTTGGCCTTTTGTCAGTGTTGGCCTTTTGTCAGTGTTGGCCTTTTGTCAGTGTCGGCCTTTTGTCAGTCTATTGGATGTCAGCCTTTTGTCAGTGTTGGCCTTTTGTCAGTGTTGGCCTTTTGTCAGTGTTGGCCTTTTGTCAGTGTTGGCCTTTTGTCAGTGTTGGCCTTTTGTCAGTGTTGGCCTTTTGTCAGTGTTGGCCTTTTGTCAGTCTATTGGATGTCTGCCTTTAGTCAGTGTTGGCCTTTTGTCAGTGTTGGCCTTTTGTCCACCTATTGGATGTCAGCCTTTTGTCAGTGTTGGCCTTTTGTCAGTGTTGGCCTTTTGTCAGTGTTGGCCTTTTGTCAGTCTATTGGATGTCTGCCTTTAGTCAGTGTTGGCCTTTTGTCAGTGTTGGCCTTTTGTCAGTGTTGGCCTTTTGTCAGTGTTGGCCTTTTGTCCACCTATTGGATGTCTGCCTTTTGTCAGTGTTAGCCTTTTGTCAGTGTTGGCCTTTTGTCAGTGTTGGCCTTTTGTCAGTGTTGGCCTTTTGTCCACCTATTGGATGTCAGCTATTTGTCAGTGTTGGCCTTTTGTCAGTGTTGGCCTTTTGTCAGTGTTGGCCTTTTGTCCACCTATTGGATGTCAGCCTTTTGTCAGTGTTGGCCTTTTGTCAGTGTTGGCCTTTTGTCAGTGTTGGCCTTTTGTCCACCTATTGGATGTCAGCTATTTGTCAGTGTTGGCCTTTTGTCAGTGTTGGCCTTTTGTCAGTGTTGGCCTTTTGTCAGTGTTGGCCTTTTGTCAGTGTTGGCCTTTTGTCAGTGTTGGCCTTTTGTCAGTGTTGGCCTTTTGTCAGTGTTGGCCTTTTGTCAGTGTTGGCCTTTTGTCAGTCTATTGGATGTCTGCCTTTAGTCAGTGTTGGCCTTTTATCAGTGTTGGCCTTTTGTCAGTGTTGGCCTTTTGTCCACCTATTGGATGTCTGCCTTTTGTCAGTGTTGGCCTTTTGTCAGTGTTGGCCTTTTGTCCACCTATTGGATGTCTGCCTTTTGTCAGTGTTGGCCTTTTGTCAGTGTTGGCCTTTTGTCCACCTATTGGATGTCTGCCTTTTGTCAGTGTTGGCCTTTTGTCAGTGTTGGCCTTTTGTCAGTGTTGGCCTTTTGTCAGTGTTGGCCTTTTGTCCACCTATTGGATGTCAGCCTTTTGTCAGTGTTGGCCTTTTGTCAGTGTTGGCCTTTTGTCAGTGTTGGCCTTTTGTCAGTGTTGGCCTTTTGTCAGTGTTGGCCTTTTGTCAGTGTTGGCCTTTTGTCAGTGTTGGCCTTTTGTCAGTGTTGGCCTTTTGTCCACCTATTGGATGTCAGCTATTTGTCAGTGTTGGCCTTTTGTCAGTGTTGGCCTTTTGTCCACCTATTGGATGTCAGCTATTTTTCAGTGTTGGCCTTTTGTCAGTGTTGGCCTTTTGTCAGTGTTGGCCTTTTGTCCACCTATTGGATGTCAGCAATTCCCTCCTGCTGTGAGAAAGCTCAAATGAGACGCAGAATGGGAGGGTTGTATTACAATATGCATGTTAATAGAAAGTAGATCTAGGGCCTAGGACAATGGAATCAAATTACCTGGGCTAAAACTAGATTGAGGCTGACTGTTACGGGTCAGTTGTAGGTTAGACTAGAATAGGATAGAATGATCTAGAATTAGGGGAGAGTGAGTGTGTGAGTTGAGTTTACCCTAGAATATTGTTAACCCCGGTGTGTTTGTGTATTGTTATCCCAAGGTCGAATGCTGTATAAAAGCTGGAGTGAATGGTTGTCAGGGGTTAGTTAGTTGGCAGGGTTAGGTCGAGGGCTATGTTGTAATGTGATATGTGAGACCTAATAAACGTATCGAACGTTAACCCGAGTCGTTCTTGAATTCGAATCTAACCCGGACGTAACACTGACATGAAATTTCCAATTGTTGTTGTATTACAATATGCATGTTAATAGAAAGTAGATCTAGGGCCTAGGACAATGGAATCAAATGACCTTGGCTAAAACTAGATTGAGGCTGACATGAAATTTCCAATTGTTGTTGTATTACAATATGCATGTTAATAGAAAGTAGATCTAGGGCCTAGGACAATGGAATCAAATGACGTGGGCTAAAACTAGATTGAGGCTGACATGAAATTTCCAATTGTTTAAACTTCAGGCTTATCACAATTTTCCACACTCATGAGAACAAATTGAAACCAAACCCAAAGGACACCGGTTAAAGTAAGCTATAGATCTCTATTTAAAAGAATCAACAAAAAACTGTAAGCAGAAAATTTTACTGATTCTGTCATATTTGATTACCTTTAAGTCTAAAACGCACACATAAAAAAACCCTAAAATGATTGATGCAAGTGAAAATTTCAGGAGAAATGTTCATATTCCAGAATTTTCTGGTTTTTTAAATTTCAGGAGAATTTCATGACACTCTGAAATTTCAAGAGGCCATGGAAACCATGTCATAGGTGTTCTTTCTTTTTTGTTTCATTTAGGAAGAGAATAGACTTTCCACATTGTGCCAAAGTTTAATTATAAATTGATTGTTTCTTTATTTATATTTATAGTGGTATTTTGAAATATATATTTCTGTAATGAAAAATAAAAATTTGAAATTGGCGGATTGAATTTTATTCCGTGTTTTATTTTGTGTGCGATGTATAGATGTGGCTACCTCCTTATGTTCAATACAGGGTTTGTAGTAATGATGATTGGTTTTTTTTTTTTACTTTCAGAATGTACAAAACAATGGGTCTCTCTACATACATGTGTTTTTTGTGAAAGAAGGAATGTCACCTGACCCTAATGACAGATCTGCAAAGACCTATTCAAAAAAGTACACAGCACATCGATCAAAAAGTAGGTAAACAACTTTAACAGGGCTGGAATTTAATTGTAATTGGGTTTGCAGCTAACTAGTGGGGAAGGAAACTTTAGGGACAGCAAATGGAATGTTGCTATGTCAGTCATTGAGATTCTATGATCGTGGATACCAAATTTATTCATATAGCTCAAGTACTCAAAAAAAGTTTAAAATTTTTAGTTTTTTGTTTCAACATGCCAAAAATGCCATGTTTAAGAGGTTATATTTGTAAAAGTATATGAGACAAACTCAACCTAAACACTTGTAAACAGAGAACAGACACAATTTTTTAAAACCTTTATAACAAGTACATTATTTAAATTGATAGCAATGAAATAAGGTTTTATCACTTTCCAATGAAATAAGGTTTTATCACTTTCAATGAAATAAGGTTTTATCACTTTCCAATGAAATAAGGTTTTATCACTTTCCAATGAAATAAGGTTTTATCACTTTCCAATGAAATAAGGTTTTATCACTTTCCAATGAAATAAGGTTTTATCACTTTCCAATGAAATAAGGTTTTATCACTTTCCAATGAAATAAGGTTTTATCACTTTCCAATGAAATAAGGTTTTATCACTTTCCAATGAAATAAGGTTTTATCACTTTCCAATGAAATAAGGTTTTATCACTTTCCAATGAAATAAGGTTTTATCACTTTCAATGAAATAAGGTTTTATCACTTTCCAATGAAATAAGGTTTTATCACTTTCCAATGAAATAAGGTTTTATCACTTTCCAATGAAATAAGGTTTTATCACTTTCCAATGAAATAAGGTTTTATCACTTTCCAATGAAATAAGGTTTTATCACTTTCCAATGAAATAAGGTTTTATCACTTTCCAATGAAATAAGGTTTTATCACTTTCCAATGAAATAAGGTTTTATCACTTTCCAATGAAATAAGGTTTTATCACTTTCCAATGAAATAAGGTTTTATCACTTTCCAATGAAATAAGGTTTTATCACTTTCCAATGAAATAAGGTTTTATCACTTTCCAATGAAATAAGGTTTTATCACTTTCCATTAAAATTAACCAGGGAGGTAAAAATAACTTTAGATGGCATTTGTTGTATGGTCGTCTAGCAGTGAATGACAATATGGGTTGGGGTAAAATTCAGCTCGTTAAGGTGACATCAACTATGTACGACAGCCAGGCTGCGCCTTACATAACTTACCCAACGTGGTTCTTTTTAGGATTATCTTTAGCACAGGTGAAACTTTTCCTTTTTTACGGAACTCTGCTTTTTGCTGAAGAAAAACCCATACTTGGACTCTATTTGACTCATGAATGGGGTGAACGAGCAGCCAAGGACGCAAGACCGTGCCACACATTCTACGAGCATTTTAATTTAAATTATCTAATTTAACGTGGTTATTTTGAATTTTTTTACTAAATTAAAACAAAAACCACTCAGTATGTCTTAACTTTTGATACAAAATACTGATGTAAGCTAGTACTATTATGTGGCTACACATCTAAGGCTTAGATCTAATAGTCTTTACACTAATGTAAAAAAAGTAAATTTTTTTTACTGCTCTGCTGTCACTGTAAACACCATACTCACACAACCCACTTTTTTCTGACTTGGTTGGTTACATTTCTGGTTTATTACTTATTGAAAAAACAAAAGTATATGACCTCAGGTTTGACGTTTTGAAGAAGCCTTCAAGATGAAAAGGGTTATTAAATATTATAGTCGTGTAAAAATACCAAAATCAAAAGACATAAAAGTCAAATTCTAATTTAATTATCACACTTTAAATGTTATAAAAAATCTAAAAATACTTATTTTTTTTTTGAAGAAAAAAAAATGAGTTGATGAATGAAAGGAAACTTGTAGAGCTGTCCATTGTTTAGGTATAATTTGACTGCACTGCCTACACCTGTTAGGATGATGTTGGAAACTATTTGGTGTAAACCTTCTGGCTATGGCTGTCGTCATGTTGTAAGCCTAAGTATATATACTAGCATGCCCATCTGAAGAAAGTCTGATGAAATATATAAGAATGGTTTCATCAATGTGTTACCAATCCTATATTCTTAGACGTGTACGTAATCACTCACCGTAATTGTGAGGTAGAACACATTTTGGTAACAATCCTATATTCTTAGACGTGTACGTAATCACTCACCGTAATAGTGAGGTAGAACACATTTTGGTAACAATCCTATATTCTTAGACGTGTATGTAATCACTCACCGTAATAGTGAGGTAGAACACATTTTGGTAACAATCCTATATTCTTAGACGTGTACGTAATCACTGACCGTAATAGTGAGGTAGAAGACATTTTGGTAAGCGCCCATGTGTCAGGGTCTGAGAGAGATGCTCTCTGGAGCCCCTGATAACACTTCTGCATGGGTGCTGCATTGGGCCCATGGCTCCTTAAACTAACATAGGCTCCTTAAACTAACATAGGCTCCTTAAACTAACATAGGCGCCTGCGGATGAGCTTGATACAATTTTATTCGTAGTCTTTCGCACCGTTTAAAAGGTTAAAACTAACGTAGGCACCATAGCGCTCATGGGATAGCCCAGGGTGCTAAAACGCACCCTGCTGGGGCGCTGGTTGGATGCATCTGATTCAATACATTGAACGATTATAATGCCCCATAGGGTTCCCTCAGCCGGGAAACCCGGAAAATAAGGGAATTTTAAGAAATGTTGATTATAGCCTGGAATTTTCATCATTCCCCCCAAACCTTGACCTTGTTTTCTAAAACTGGGTTATTTAAATGTAAACAATGCCTGCGCTTGGATCATAAATATCGGGACAAGGGGCTTACCTACACTAACCACATAAAAACCTTGAGTGTATGTTAATTACTCACTGAAATAATATGGTAGAACACAGTTCGGTGATTGCCCATGTGTCAGGGACGTAGAGGAGCGCTCTTGGGAGCCCCCTAATTACACTACCCCAGAGGCGCCGCGTACTGCCCCTTGCTCCTTAAAACTAACATAGGCGCCGTAGTGCTCACAGGATAACCCTAACCCTGACTGCCAAATATCATCCTGTTAACAATGATGCAGATGGCGTCATTCGCTAAAGTGACACAAATCAATAGGAATTTTTCTTTATCACGTAAAAAAATAATTATTTGATGTGTTTTAAACATCAGTGTGACTGATGCAATTTGTTAGCGTTACTAATTGTCTATTATTATTTGATGCTCGATCTCAATTTCTGATCGTCTAAAAATAGATGCTAATTGCATCATTTGCAAAGTGACGAAACTGTTTGGATTTTTTTTTACCGACAAAAGGAAACAACCCAGTTAATAATTTAACCTTGGTTAATTTTTCAGATTATAAAAAAAATGTATTACAGGGCCCTCAGTGGCATATGTGACAGGGCCCTCAGTGGCATATGTGACAGGGCCCACAGTGGCATATGTGACAGGGCCCTTAGTGGCATATGTGACAGGGCCCACAGTGCCATATGTGACAGGGCCCACAGTGCCATATGTGACAGGGCCCTCAGTGGCATATGTGACAGGGCCCTCAGTGGCATATGTGACAGGGCCCACAGTGGCATATGTGACAGGGCCCTTAGTGGCATATGTGACAGGGCCCACAGTGCCATATGTGACAGGGCCCACAGTGCCATATGTGACAGGGCCCTCAGTGGCATATGTGACAGGGCCCACAGTGCCATATGTGACAGGGCCCAAAGTGCCATATGTGACAGGGCCCAAAGTGCCATATGTGACAGGGCCCACAGTGCCATATGTGACAGGGCCCACAGTGCCATATGTGACAGGGCCCTCAGTGGCATATGTGACAGGGCCCTCAGTGAGCCTTTTGGGGCCGAAACTGAAATTTTTTTCACAGCCAAATTGCAAAATAGAGAAAAATGGCACCCTCCCATAGCACCGCCCTTGCGAAATTAAAAATAATTTTTTTTTACAGAAACCTTACAGGGATTGTTTTAATTAGCTTCCCAAAGTTTGATGGCCATCGGATGAAAGGTGTCAAACCACAATCAACTTTTAATTTTATTGAAATCGCACGCTCCTGGGTGGCGCCCTTTCAAAATTGAAAATGATTTTTTACAGAAACCTCACCTGGATTGTTCTCATCAGCTCCCAAAGTTTCATGGCACTCGGATGAACGGTGTTGAGCCACATCCGACTTTTATAAAAATCGCACTCTCCCGGCGCGCCACCCTAGCGAAATTAAAAGATTTTTTTTGCAGGAACCTCTCATCAACTCCCCAAAGTTTCATGCTTATAGGACTAACGGTTTCAAACCACAATAGTCTTTTATTTTTTATAAACCATATCTAGATTAAAAAAAAGAAATCGCGCCCTACTGGGGAGCCACCTCTGCGAATTTGGAAAATTTTTATTCACAGAAACCTCCCCAGGAATATTCCCAACAACATCACTGCGATGTGATGAGAGGAGTAGTAATGCATAAAAGACACACAGACAGACAAACATACATTGCTTTTTATATAATGCCGCGGGGATAGAAGTAAGTCTGATGAAATATATAAGACGGGAGCCGGACGTTTTCCCGAAAGACACTTGCCCGAATGCCGTTTGCCCGAAGGCCGATTTCCCGAATGGACACTTGCCCGAATGCGACAAATGCCCGAATGGACACTTGCCCGAATGCGACAAATGCCCGAATGGACACTTGCCCGAATGCGACAAATGCCCGAATGCCACTTGTATATATATATGTATATATGCGTATATATACGTATATATGCGTATGTATGCGTATGTATACGTAGGTATACGTATGTATATATACGTATGTATATACACGTATGTATATACACGTATGTATATACACGTATGTACATACACGTATGTACATACACGTATGTACATACACGTATGTACATACACGTATGTACATACACGTATGTACATACACGTATGTACATACACGTATGTACATACACGTATGTACATACACGTATGTACATACACGTATGTACATACACGTATGTACATACACGTATGTACATACACGTATGTACATACACGTATGTACATACACGTATGTACATACACGTATGTACATACACGTATGTACATACACGTATGTATATGTATATATATGGTTTGGGTGGGCAATGCCGGGTTGATGATGATTACTAAACACACAGGTAATGGTCTTTAACAGAAAGGTTTTTCACAAAAGCCAGAGCAGGGCCTGGCTGGGACGGCTAGTATATATATATATATATATATATATATATATATATATATATATATATATATACCCATAGAAAAAGTCAAAATATAGACCAATAGGTATTTTATATTTCTGGCTACAAGATATTTTATTTGGAAACTATTGACAGATATTTTATTTGGAAGCAGTTTACTTAGTGCTTTATTTGTGATACTCAATAATGTCTTGTTTTGGGATTGCTTTGTTGAATAAAGCTGGAAGAAATTTTGTTTCAGGACTAAACAAATTTAAAAAGCGCAAGTTTCACAAGACAGTCAATTTACTGACTGGTCAAACGGATGTCCACCCTGACCTAGTACAGGTAATACTTAATTCTTTATTGAGCAAGTTTACTGCTTCCTTAGAAAGAAAATTTTACAAATGCATTATTTCCTCAGAAAGAAAATTTTACAAATGTATTATTTTCTCAGAAAGAAAATCTTTACAAATGTATTATTTCCTCAGAAAGAAAATCTTTACAAATGTCTTATTTCCTCAGAAAGAAAATCTTTACAAATGTATTATTTCCTCAGAAAGAAAATCTTTACAAATGTATTATTTCCTCAGAAAGAAAATCTTTACAAATGTCTTATTTCCTCAGAAAGAAAATCTTTACAAATGTATTATTTCCTCAGAAAGAAAATCTTTACAAATGTCTTATTTCCTCAGAAAGAAAATCTTTACAAATGTATTATTTCCTCAGAAAGAAAATCTTTACAAATGTCTTATTTCCTCAGAAAGAAAACTCCTCCTCCTATGAAATACTTTCCCACTGGCACCCTAACCTCACAATCAACCTTCTGGATGACCATTCACCATGGCTGCCTGGCTCCGTACCTCCACCATTGGATGAATGTAGGTTTTATCTGAATTCTGCACCAACTTTTTGTAATATTTTTTATTCTAAGTTTATTTACAGTATAACTATGCAATGTTAATTGTTTCATATATTAAATTTATACCTATTTCTCAGCAATATTTTTAAAATCTATACTAAATTTATACCTAGTTGTCAGCAAACTAGTGTGTCCATCCCTGTGTGTGGTGCTGCGGTCTCAAAAGAAAGTCTGACGCAATATTTTTAGACTGTTTCATCATTGCGATACCAATCAGATATCCTTAGACGTGTGACCTGGTTTCCAAAAATTGAGTTATTTAAATATAAACAAAGCCTGCGCTATATTTCTTGGATCATATTTGTCACTGCTTTACCCACACTACTGCCCAGCACAACCCATTATGTGCTGTATGTTGAGTGTACGTTAACCCTTTGGCCCAGAATAGCCGGTTTTCCGGCCCGACGATCTAGCATCATAGTCCTGGGGGCTGGTATACCATCTTATTAAATATAATTAGCGGCGTATTGAATAAAACGGCGCATATGTCTTTTTAGTGCAGGATTATGATTCTAAAAATAGATTTTAGGGTAAAGTTGAAAGTGAAAGTGTTTGCATTTCGTAAAATACATTGTCAACAAAAAAAATTGGTTATTTTATATTATTATATTATACGGTTATAATTATTATTATAATAACAGTAAATAGGTAAGTTACTCTAGTTTTGTCATTATGTTTAGTAAGTATATAAAACAATTATCGGTATATAAATGTTTTATTAGTGCAAACTTTTGTTGTAAAAATTATTTTTTATTTTTTTAAGCAATGCCGACGTATTGAAAAAACATTGTAAAAAAACAAAGAATTTCCAAATCTTGCTGAATTGTTTGATACTGAGCCTTGATACCAAATCTGGCTTGATTATCTCAAATGGTGTCTGATTTTAGTGTTTAGTGTAAAGCCTTTTTTTAACAAACATAGGCACCTTAGTGCTCACAGAGGAGCCCAGGGTGCTTAGGGTTGACAGCAACTGCACCTGTTGCAGTTTACCGTTGAATATATTAGTACCCCTTACCCGCTATGCAAGACCCCCAATTAAGTGCTAAGATAGCCGGACTGGAACTTGGGGTGCCAAACTGTGTATTGACAAAAATCACACACTCCTGAGCACTGCTCATAAGAAATTTAAATTTTTTTTCGCTCAAATCTTCTCATATATTCTCATCAACTCCCCAAAGTTCCATGGCACTTGGATAAACGGTGTCAAACCGCAAATGACTTTTTTTTTAAATACAGCATGTAGAGAAAAATCCCCCCTTTCTCCCCCCCCCCCCCCTGGTGGGGAAGAAAAATTTCTGAAAGACACTACTCATTAGTAGATCATACAGGCCAAAGGTAGGCCCTTCTTCTATTATCTAGACCCGTACCTACTTTTGGCTGCTAAACCTCAATCATGCAGATTGTGTTTCTTCAGACTTTTTATCTCCATGGGTGGGGGGACACTCGGCTAACACTGGTAAAAGTATATATTTTCTACATAAAATTTATTTGAATGATTTTAAGATTAGAATTAGGCGGTAGTGTTCTTGTCTTTATTATTAAATACTGATGACGTTCTTTATTATTGTGTATTTTTTCGGCATTGAATTTTTAATTGTATGTTTACTCTAGAATCAATGGCGTCATTTGATTATGTGTTCTTTAGAACTACATATTTCGATACGTTTTGAAAATTTCCTGTGTTCTATGTGACATCACAGTCGTGGGAAGTTTAGTTTTTCGTTTGAATGAAAGTTTTTACTTTGCTTGTATTTTCTTTAGATTGTTCCTGACAGACAGAATAGCACAATTATTATTCTAGATATTTTTGTAGATGTTCCTGACAGACAGAAATAGCACAATTATTATTCTAGATATTTTTGTAGAAACCTCCCGTGGAGTACTCATCACCTGCCCAAAGTTTCATGGTGCTGCTGGGATCAACTGTTTCAAACCGCGATGAACTTTTATTTTTATATCCCTTTTATTTAGAAGAATCGCAATGAACTTTTATTTTTATATCCCTTATATTTAGAAGAATCACAATGAACTTTTATTTCCCATATATATATATATATATATATATATATATATATATATATATATATATATATATATATATATATATATATATATATATATATATATATATATATATATATATATATATATATATATCTATATATATAAAAAGCAATGTATGTGTGTTTGTCCTTTATGCATTACTACACCTCTCATCACATCGCCGTGAAACTTTGGGAAGTTGTTGAGAATATTCCTGGGGAGGTTTCTGCGAAAAAAAAAATTTCTAATTCGCAGGGGTGGCGCCCCGACAGGGCGCGAATTGTTTTTCTCTATATACCGTATATAAAAATAATAAAAGTGAATAGCCGTGACACTGTTTACACGATCGGCAAGAAACTTTAGGAAGTTGTTGAGAATATTCCTGGGGAGGTTTCTGCGAAAAAAAAATTTCAACTTCGCAGGGGTGGCGCCCCGATAGGGCGCGATTTGTTTTTTTTTTCTATTTACGGTATATAAAACTAAAAGTCGATTTTGGTTTGGCATCGTTCATCCAATAGCCATGAGACTTTGGGGAGTTCATTATACCACTCTAGGGAAGGGTTCTGTAAAAAAAATTTTTTAATTTCGAAAGGGCGTCGCCACGGGAGGTTGCGATTTTTCTCTATATACGGTTTATAAAAATAAAAGTCGATTTTGGTGAGACACCGTTATCCGATAGCCATGAGACTTTGGGGAGATGATTAGATCATTCAATGGTAGGGTTCTGCAAAAAAAATATTGTTTAATATTGCAAGGGCGGCGCCCCCGGGGGGGGGGGGGGCGTTTTTTTCCCTCTATACATGGTATATAAAAAATAAAACTCGGATGCGGTTCATCCGAGTGCCATGAAACTTTAGGGAGTAGATGAGAATACTCCCGAGAATATTTCTGCGAAAAAGAAAACTAAAGTTTCTTATGGGCGGCGCCATATAGGGTACAACTTTCGTCAATACACGGTTTGGCGCCCAGAGTTTTAGAGCGACTATGTTGGCACTTGACATCCGTTAATCGAGCGTCCTGCATAGCGAGTAAGGGGTACTACTATATTCAGCGGTAAAACTACAACAGGCTTCTAAAAATAACTTTGTAACGCGAGGAAATCCTTCTGTACAGTTTTGTCACCTTGCGAAAGATGAAAAAATAACTTTTTGAATATGAGGAGCCTACTGTAGAGTTTCGTCACTTTGCGAATGATGCAATAAGCATCTATTATTTGACAATCCAGTCAGAAATTGAGATCGAGTATCTAATAATAGACCATTAGTAACGCTAGCATATTGCATCAGTCACACTGATATTTAAAACACGTCAAATAATTTTTTTAAATGGCGCCTGTTAGTTTTAAGGAGCCAGGGGTCGTACGCCGCGCATATGCGGTAGTGTAATCGGGGGGGTGGGGGCCCTGAGAGCGCCCCTCTACGTCTCTGACACATGGGCGGTCACCGAAGTGTGTTCTACCATATTATTTCGGTGAGTGATTAATGTACACTCAAGGTTTTCATGCGGTAGTGTAGGTAAACCCGTGTCCTGATATTTATGATCCAAGCGCAGGCATTGTTTACATTTAAATAACTCATTTTTAGAAAAGAAGGTCACGCGTCTAAGAACATATAATTATAATTGATAACGCGTTGGTGAAATCCTAATATATTTCGTCAAACTTTCTTCTATCCCCGCGGCAACGCGCGGGGGTCGGGTACGCTAGTATGTATATATATATATTAATATATATATATATTAATATATATTATTTATACCTAGTTCAAAGCTAAATTTTTGTGTTTCAGACATTGAGTTTATACCTAGTTCAAACAAATATTATCCTGTCATCTATCTCAATGACTATTGGAACTTGAATGCAGATTACATGCCCATCAATGACACCACCAAGTGAGTCTGGTACCTCCTTAATAGATAAACAATTGTTGAATAATCCAGAAGTTATTTCCTGAACTTTTTTTTCCCCTCAGAAACCTGAACCTGTCCCTAACCTACAGTCCTATGTCCTTATTTAAGTGGCAGTTGTATGCAGCTCAGGGAATGAGGAACAAATGGATTAATATGCTTGGCTCAGATGGTGGAGAAGAAGAAGAAGATCAGGATTCACTTAAGGTTCCAATGATTGGCTGGTCTTGGCTAGAATGATTGGCTGGTCTTGGCTAGAATGATTGGCTGGTCTTGGCTAGAATGATTGGCTGGTCTTGGCTAGAATGATTGGCTGGTCTTGGCTAGAATGATTGGCTGGTCTTGGCTAGAATGATTGGCTGGTCTTGGCTAGAATGATTGGCTGGTCTTGGCTAGAATGATTGGCTGGTCTTGGCTAGAATGATTGGCTGGTCTTGGCTAGAATGATTGGCTGGTCTTGGCTAGAATGATTGGCTGGTCTTGGCTAGAATGATTGGCTAGTCTTGGCTAGAATGATTGGTTGGTCTTGGCTAGAATGATTGGCTGGTCTTGGCTAGAATGATTGGCTGGTCTTGGCTAGAATGATTGGACATGTTGTTGGATAATTTACTGCTATTAGTATTACCATTAGCAAGATGAGTTATGACAAACATTTTTCTTGTGACAGGTTGCCTTCCTTGAGACCAGCCCCTATCTGCTTGGCATGACTATTATTGTTTCAATTCTGCATAGTATATTTGAGTTTCTGGCATTTAAAAATGGTAAGATTGAACATTCAACAATTTTTACTCCCCAATAATTGAACATTCAACAATGTTTGATCCTTTATGATTGTACTGTCAACAACCTTTGACCCTTTTGTCTCCTAGCCCTTAAATTGACTCATGTTTCTCAAGTAGTATAAAAAATTATGGCGTTTTGAAAATTTGGTTTTTCATTTAAATAAATTGTATTGCAATAGGCTTTCTGTCACAAAGGGGAGTATAAGAAAAAACAAATTGGGTACATTTTAAAAAATAGCCAAAAATGTCATATGAAAGAGCATATATGATAAGAATATCAAATGTTGACATAAAACTCAGGTGTTGGAACCAAAGGGTTAATGTACTGACTTATTTAGTCAGTTGGTTGAATGTCACACTTGTATTGTTCTGGCATTCCTTAATGTTCAAAGGCTATTCAGTTTTGCACATTTTACATGTATTTATAAAGAAATCCGTTGAATGGTAAAAAAATTTTTTGGAGTTTAATGGGAGTGGGTCAAAATCTGTGTGTGACTGCGGGTGAAAAATCATCTCGGTTATAATTTTCTAAAGTTAAATGAGATTTTTTTCTGGCTGTTTGACATAGCTACTCTAATCAACTTAATCTTATCTGGGTACAATGTGTACAATGTTCAGTCTAGTCTTTGACATAGCTACTCTAATCAACTCAATCTTATCTGCGTACAGTGTGTACAATGTTTAGTCTAGTGTTTGACATAGCTACTCTAATCAACTCAATCTTATCTGGGTACAGTGTGTACAATGTTTAGTCTAGTGTTTGACATAGCTACTCTAATCAACTCAATCTTATCTGCGTACAGTGTGTACAATGTTTAGTCTAGTGTTTGACATAGCTACTCTAATCAACTCAATCTTATCTGCGTACAGTGTGTACAATGTTTAGTCTAGTGTTTGACATAGCTACTCTAATCAACTCAATCTTATCTGCGTACAGTGTGTACAATGTTTAGTCTAGTGTTTGACATAGCTACTCTAATCAACTCAATCTTATCTGGGTACAGTGTGTACAATGTTTAGTCTAGTGTTTGACATAGCTACTCTAATCAACTCAATCTTATCTGCGTACAGTGTGTACAATGTTTAGTCTAGTGTTTGACATAGCTACTCTAATCAACTCAATCGTTAACGAGCTACTTAAAGTGTTTTAAAGAAATATTTTCAGTGTCAGCGTTGGTACTGTCGAATTCACAAATTATGAATAACTGAAAAGTAGAAAAAACAACAAAATAGCGGCGTATGTTATGCCGCGGGCCGGCTCGTATGTTATAGAGTCAGAGAATGCAGGCAGTCCTGCTTTTTTTTTTTATATTGAAAATACTGTAGACAGAATTTTTTACTGTCTTTTGTGGCTGTCTAACTATCAACAATTATATGGGTTCGGGTAAATTCGGCTAATCAACGTGTCGTCATTAAGTAACTCATCTTTACACTGCTTGTGTTTCCATAACAAACCGCCTTTCCTCCTTTTTTGTTGTTGCGCTGATTGTTAGCCCTACACACCAAGCGAGCACATAATACACGCGCTGATATTTAAATATCTAATAACAACGTAGTTTTGATTTTTTTACATTAAACAAGTTAATAAAAAGTCTAGTGACAATTTAAGCGCAATTTCCTAGCTAAACAAAACCTTGTAATTGTAACTCCCTATCACTCTCATATAAATTATAAATTAAACCACACGAGCAGAGCTAGTCCCCGCCCCCTCGCGAAATCTGCGCGAGTCTGGCCAATGGCAGAGTGTGTAGACGTTACCTCTCACTAGCGACTGCCTCAACTAGCGACTGCCTCAGCCGGTGTGCTATATTTGTATATTCTTAGTAATCTTAGCCAATACAAATTAGAAGAAATTAATTTTTTGTGACCGAACGAAAGGATATTTTTTAAAACTTTCTTCGGCAATATTGTTCTAAATTATGGCAGGAATCGATTGGTAAATGTTTCAAGTCGCTAAGTGGTCTGGTTGCCGAGATATGGGCCAAAAACTGCATTTTTTCGAGGGTTTTTTTTTTTTGGCTTTTCTGGGAAATCCAGGAAGGAAACCCGGGAATTTTTTTGGCCTTGGAACTTGCTTAACATTTTTGCTTTGGAACTAGTCCTCGATATTGCTTCGTTGAGGAGGAGATACGACTTAAAGCTGCAGACATCCATCCATCCACCCATCCATCCATACAGAAATGACGGGTTAATAAACGCAATTCTCCAGAATGGAAATTGCGCTAAAAAATGACTAGATCTACATCATCTTAGGCTTTGACACAAAATAATGATGTAGGCCTACTATGATTTAGTTACAAGTGTTTGAAATGTTTAAAAATAAACTTGAAATACCATGAATTGTTTTAGAAAATTGCAGCGATCACTGCCCCATCCCCTCCCGCTTGTAAAAAAAAACGCTTTTTCTTCTTAGGCGGGTGGTAAACAGTTACATCACTCCATTTACCACGAGAACTGCCGATTTAATATATAAACTACAATTTACATGTATTTTTAAAATTTATTTTTTAAATTATCAAATGTAAGTATTATGTGGTTTAATTCCACATTTGGATGTCCACATTAACCCTAACCCCCAGTCCAGACGCATCCACAAATTTTTTTCTGAGCCCTTTACCGGGGCACAATGCGTATCATGTTTACTGCATGTATCCATTGGCTGTGAATCTCATTTAGATATCCAGTTCTGGAAAAGTCGCAAGTCACTGGAGGGACTGTCTGTCAGATCTGTGTTCTTCAATGTCATCCAGTCCCTGATTGTTCTTCTCTACATCATGGACAATGAGACCAACACTGTTGTTAAGATTAGTGTTTTTATTGGACTTTGTATTGAAATCTGGAAGATCAACAAGGTGGTCAATGCACAGGTCAGTCTAGATGGAACTAACACAGCTTTTATCTCTGTTCCCTCTGGTCAGTCTAGATGGAACTAACACATCTCTGTTCCCTCTGGTCAGTCTAGATGGAACTAACACAGCTTTTATCTCTGTTCCCTCTGGTCAGTCTAGATGGAACTAACACAGACCTTATATATCCTCATGTATTGTGGACCTTATATATCCCCATGTATTGTGGACCTTATATATCCTCATGTATTGTGGACCTTATATATCCTCATGTATTGTGGACCTTATATATCCCCATGTATTGTGGACCTTATATATCCCCATGTATTGTGGACCTTATATATCCTCATGTATTGTGGACCTTATATATCCTCATGTATTGTGGACCTTATATATCCTCATGTATTGTGGACCTTATATATCCTCATGTATTGTGGACCTTATATATCCCCATGTATTGTGGACCTTATATATCCCCATGTATTGTGGACCTTATATATCCTCATGTATTGTGGACCTTATATATCCCCATGTATTGTGGACCTTATATATCCTCATGTATTGTGGACCTTATATATCCTCATGTATTGTGGACCTTATATATCCCCATGTATTGTGGACCTTATATATCATGTATTGTGGACCTTATATATCCCCATGTATTGTGGACCTTATATATCATGTATTGTGGACCTTATATATCCCCATGTATTGTGGACCTTATATAACCTCATGTATTGTGGACCTTATATATCCTCATGTATTGTGGACCTTATATATCCTCATGTATTGTGGACCTTTTATATCCTCATGTATTGTGGACCTTATATATCCCCATGTATTGTGGACCTTATATATCCTCATGTATTGTGGACCTTATATATCATGTATTGTGTCCTGGTGGACCTTATATATCCCCATGTATTGTGGACCTTATATATCCTCATGTATTGTGGACCTTATATATCCCCATGTATTGTGGACCTTATATATCCCCATGTATTGTGGACCTTTTATATCCTCATGTATTGTGGACCTTATATATCCTCATGTATTGTGGACCTTATATATCCCCATGTATTGTGGACCTTATATATCCTCATGTATTGTGGACCTTTTATATCCTCATGTATTGTGGACCTTATATATCCCCATGTATTGTGGACCTTATATATCCCCATGTATTGTGGACCTTTTATATCCTCATGTATTGTGGACCTTATATATCCTCATGTATTGTGGACCTTATATATCCTCATGTATTGTGGACCTTTTATATCCTCATGTATTGTGGACCTTATATATCCTCATGTATTGTGGACCTTATATATCCCCATGTATTGTGGACCTTATATATCCTCATGTATTGTGGACCTTATATATCCCCATGTATTGTGGACCTTATATATCCTCATGTATTGTGGACCTTTTATATCCTCATGTATTGTGGACCTTATATATCCTCATGTATTGTGGACCTTATATATCCTCATGTATTGTGGACCTTATATATCCCCATGTATTGTGGACCTTATATATCCCCATGTATTGTGGACCTTATATATCCCCATGTATTGTGGACCTTATATAACCTCATGTATTGTGGACCTTATATATCCCCATGTATTGTGGACCATATATATATCCCTATGTATTGTGGACCTTATATATCCCCATGTATTGTGGACCTTTTATATCCTCATGTATTGTGGACCTTATATATCCTCATGTATTGTGGACCTTATATATCATGTATTGTGTCCTGGTGGACCTTATATATCCCCATGTATTGTGGACCTTATATATCCCTATGTATTGTGGACCTTATATATCCCCATGTATTGTGGACCTTATATATCCCTATGTATTGTGGACCTTATATATCCTCATGTATTGTGGACCTTATATATCCCTATGTATTGTGGACCTTATATATCCTCATGTATTGTGGACCTTATATATCATGTATTGTGTCCTGGTGGACCTTATATATCCTCATGTATTGTGGACCTTATATATCCCTATGTATTGTGGACCTTATATATCCTCATGTATTGTGGACCTTATATATCCCCATGTATTGTGGACCTTATATATCCTCATGTATTGTGGACATATATATCCTCATGTATTGTGGACCTTATATATCCTCATGTATTGTGGACCTTATATATCCGCATGTATTGTGGACCTTATATATCCTCATGTATTGTGGACCTTATATAACCTCATGTATTGTGGACCTTATATATCCCCATGTATTGTGGACCTTATATATCCTCATGTATTGTGGACCTTATATATCCTCATGTATTGTGGACCTTATATATCCTCATGTATTGTGGACCTTATATATCCTCATGTATTGTGGACCTTATATATCCCCATGTATTGTGGACCTTATATATCCCTATGTATTGTGGACCTTATATATCCTCATGTATTGTGGACCTTATATATCATGTATTGTGTCCTGGTGGACCTTATATATCCTCATGTATTGTGGACCTTATATATCCCTATGTATTGTGGACCTTATATATCCTCATGTATTGTGGACCTTATATATCCCCATGTATTGTGGACCTTATATATCCTCATGTATTGTGGACCTTATATATCCTCATGTATTGTGGACCTTATATATCCTCATGTATTGTGGACCTTATATATCCGCATGTATTGTGGACCTTATATATCCTCATGTATTGTGGACCTTATATAACCTCATGTATTGTGGACCTTATATATCCCCATGTATTGTGGACCTTATATATCCTCATGTATTGTGGACCTTATATATCCTCATGTATTGTGGACCTTATATATCCCCATGTATTGTGGACCTTATATATCCCCATGTATTGTGGACCTTATATATCCCCATGTATTGTGGACCATATATATATCCCTATGTATTGTGGACCTTATATATCCCCATGTATTGTGGACCTTTTATATCCTCATGTATTGTGGACCTTATATATCCTCATGTATTGTGGACCTTATATATCATGTATTGTGTCCTGGTGGACCTTATATATCCCCATGTATTGTGGACCTTATATATCCCTATGTATTGTGGACCTTATATATCCCCATGTATTGTGGACCTTATATATCCCTATGTATTGTGGACCTTATATATCCTCATGTATTGTGGACCTTATATATCCCTATGTATTGTGGACCTTATATATCCTCATGTATTGTGGACTTTATATATCATGTATTGTGTCCTGGTGGACCTTATATATCCTCATGTATTGTGGACCTTATATATCCCTATGTATTGTGGACCTTATATATCCTCATGTATTGTGGACCTTATATATCCCCATGTATTGTGGACCTTATATATCCTCATGTATTGTGGACCTTATATATCCTCATGTATTGTGGACCTTATATATCCTCATGTATTGTGGACCTTATATATCCGCATGTATTGTGGACCTTATATATCCTCATGTATTGTGGACCTTATATAACCTCATGTATTGTGGACCTTATATATCCCCATGTATTGTGGACCTTATATATCCTCATGTATTGTGGACCTTATATATCCTCATGTATTGTGGACCTTATATATCCTCATGTATTGTGGACCTTATATATCCTCATGTATTGTGGACCTTATATATCCCCATGTATTGTGGACCTTATATATCCCTATGTATTGTGGACCTTATATATCCTCATGTATTGTGGACCTTATATATCCTCATGTATTGTGGACCTTATATATCCCCATGTATTGTGGACCTTATATATCCTCATGTATTGTGGACCTTATATATCCTCATGTATTGTGGACCTTATATATCCCCATGTATTGTGGACCTTATATATCCCCATGTATTGTGGACCTTATATATCCTCATGTATTGTGGACCTTTTATATCCTCATGTATTGTGGACCTTATATATCCCCATGTATTGTGGACCTTATATAACCTCATGTATTGTGGACCTTATATATCCCCATGTATTGTGGACCTTATATATCCTCATGTATTGTGGACCTTATATATCCTCATGTATTGTGGACCTTATATATCCCCATGTATTGTGGACCTTATATATCCCCATGTATTGTGGACCTTATATATCCTCATGTATTGTGGACCTTATATATCCTCATGTATTGTGGACCTTATATATCCTCATGTATTGTGGACCTTATATATCCTCATGTATTGTGGACCTTATATATCCCCATGTATTGTGGACCTTATATATCCCTATGTATTGTGGACCTTATATATCCTCATGTATTGTGGACCTTATATATCCTCATGTATTGTGGACCTTATATATCCTCATGTATTGTGGACCTTATATATCCTCATGTATTGTGGACCTTATATATCCTCATGTATTGTGGACCTTATATATCCTCATGTATTGTGGACCTTATATATCCTCATGTATTGTGGACCTTATATATCCTCATGTATTGTGGACCTTATATATCCTCATGTATTGTGGACCTTATATATCCTCATGTATTGTGGACCTTATATATCCTCATGTATTGTGGACCTTATATATCCCCATGTATTGTGGACCTTATATATCCTCATGTATTGTGGACCTTTTATATCCTCATGTATTGTGGACCTTTTATATCCTCATGTATTGTGGACCTTTTATATCCTCATGTATTGTGGACCTTATATATCCTCATGTATTGTGGACCTTATATATCCACATGTATTGTGGACCTTATATATCCCCATGTATTGTGGACCTTATATATCCTCATGTATTGTGGACCTTATATATCCTCATGTATTGTGGACCTTATATATCCCCATGTATTGTGGACCTTATATATCCCCATGTATTGTGGACCTTATATATCCTCATGTATTGTGGACCTTATATATCCCCATGTATTGTGGACCTTATATATCCCCATGTATTGTGGACCTTATATATCCTCATGTATTGTGGACCCTATATATCATGTATTGTGTCCTGGTGGACCTTATATGTCTACGTGTTATTTCTGCTCCTGTGTTGTGCGTTATTATTTATAGGTGTTTGAGTACTTTGGTAATTGGCTATTATTTATAGGTGTTTGAGTACTTTGGTAATTGGCTATTATTTATAGGTGTTTGAGTACTTTTGTAATTGGCTATTATTTATAGGTGTTTGAGTACTTTTGTAATTGGCTATTATTTATAGGTGTTTGAGTACTTTTGTAATTGGCTATTATTTATAGGTGTTTGAGTACTTTGGTAATTGGCTATTATTTATAGGTGTTTGAGTACTTTGGTAATTGGCTATTATTTATAGGTGTTTGAGTACTTTGGTAATTGGCTATTATTTATAGGTGTTTGAGTACTTTTGTAATTGGCTATTATTTATAGGTGTTTGAGTACTTTGGTAATTGGCTATTATTTATAGGTGTTTGAGTACTTTGGTAATTGGCTACACCACTGATCTTGACAACAATTTGCAATATGTTCTTTTTTTTTTTCAGCTAGACAGAGAGAACAAAATTCTGGGTATATTTCCTCGGCCCAGACTAACAGAGAAATCAACTTACACAGAATCACATACAAAGAAATATGATATTGTGAGTCCATGAAAATGCTCTTGTTAAAATATGGTTAACCCTTGTGTGTTACAGGCCCCTGCATTAGCCTGAAGGCAGTCAAGTACAGCTGCTTGTGAGATTTACAATTGGGAAATGATCAGTCCCTCATTTTGTACCCATGTTTGAAGTTAAGATTATTTTTTTTAATAACGGCAATGTGGTTAGTACAAATTAAAACAATTAAAAGAAATGGTTACTACTCTTTAAAATAGAACTTGAATATAGGGAAGGTTTTTTTTTTAATTCACAAGTAAAATTTTGATCAACAAACCTTTTTAAAAAACAGACGACAATACATAATTGAATAAAATATAAACAAGGTCTTTATTGCATTGAGTGAAACCAAAGTCTGAAATAGAAACAAGATCTTTATTGCATTGAGTGAAACCAAAGTCTGAAATATAAAACTTGGGTGTTGGAACCAAAGGGTTAACTAGTGACTTGTTAGGGGTAACACAAGCAGTGACTTGTATGTACCCACCTAGTTAGGGGTAACACTAAGAGTGACTTGTATGTACCCAGCTAGTTAGGAGTAACACTAAGAGTGACTTGTATGTACCCAGCTAGTTAGGAGTAACACTAAGAGTGACTTGTATGTACCCAGCTAGTTAGGGGTAACACTAAGAATGACTTGTATGTACCCAGCTAGTTAGGGGTAACACAAGCAGTGACTTGTATGTACCCACCTAGTTAGGGGTAACACTAAGAGTGACTTGTATGTACCCACCTAGTTAGGGGTAACACTAAGAGTGACTTGTATGTACCCAGCTAGTTAGGGGTAACACTAAGAATGACTTGTATGTACCCACCTAGTTAGGGGTAACACTAAGAGTGACTTGTATGTACCCAGCTAGTTAGGGGTAACACTAAGAGTGACTTGTATGTACCCAGCTAGTTAGGGGTAACACTAAGAGTGACTTGTATGTACCCACCTAGTTAGGGGTAACACTAAGAGTGACTTGTATGTACCCAGCTAGTTAGGGGTAACACTAAGAGTGACTTTGTTTTTCCACTCCACAGTTGGCATTCCGCTACCTCTCATGGTTGTTGTACCCTCTTCTGGGCTGCTATGCTGTATACTCACTAGTGTATCAAGAACATAAGGGCTGGTACTCCTGGGTCCTCAGCATGTTGTATGGCTTTTTGCTCACATTTGGTAGGTTCAAAAGGCCAGGTTTGTATGGCTTTTTGCTCACATTTGGTAGGTTCAAAAGGCCAGGTTTGTATGGCTTTTTGCTCACATTTGGTAGGTTCAAAAGGCCAGGTTTGTATGGCTTTTTGCTCACATTTGGTAGGTTTAAAAGGCCAGGTTTGTATGGCTTTTTGCTCACATTTGGTAGGTTCAAAAGGCCAGGTTTGTATGGCTTTTGTTTTAACAGGGATATGACTTTTCCTATTTTTTCCAGATTTCCAATTAAAAAAAAAACTTACAATTCCACTTCCACTAACATTTTCAGTTACATATTTTCAAATCAAACCACCCCTTTTTAAAAGTGGAATAAAATGTTGCCGTTCTATAAAGGAAATGTACATCTCTAAGCCTGGTTTTTTAAATGTTATCTTGCACAGGTGGTAACTGGTATCCTAAGTCAAATTTTTGACCTTTTCTAATCTACTTGTCAGCCAGCTCCTGGCCTCTGTGAAAACTTTTGTGTAAAGGACCATGATGGTTTACCTGTGGGGTGGGGGTACCTGATGGCTTACCTGTGGTGTGGGTGTACATGATGGTTTACCTGTGGGGTGGGGGTACAGGATGGTTTACCTGTGGGGTGGGTGTACATGATGGTTTACCTGTGGGGTGGGTGTACATGATGGTTTACCTGTGAGGTGGGGGTACATGATGGTTTACCTGTGGGGTGGGTGTACATGATGGTTTACCTGAGGGGTGGGGTATACATAATTGAGGTGTTAAACCAATGTCTTTCTCCTGAAGGTTTTATCATGATGACACCCCAACTATTTATCAATTACAAACTCAAGTCTGTTGCACACTTACCATGGAGAATGCTGACCTATAAAGCCCTAAATACTTTCATTGATGATATTTTTGCCTTTGTGATCAAAATGCCAACCTTGTATAGACTTGGATGCTTAAGGGACGGTGAGTTTGTTCCTATCAATTTCTGATTCCAATATAATCCACACATAAAAATATTTGTGTATGCAATACTTGCATTGAAATGACTGGGTAGTGAGCTATTCAGTTGCCATTTTAAAAAGAAGGCTGATTTAAAAAGACAATTGAAGGTCATAGATTGATTGTTTATAATTGGTCTACTGAAGGTCGTAGAAAGATTTTAATTGGCTTTTTGAAACCTTTGTTTCATCTCCAGATGTGATATTTTTTATCTACCTGTATCAGCGCTACATTTATTCTGTGGACCCCAAGAGAGTGAATGAGTTTGGAACAAGCCAAGAAATGCTAGAGACTAAAGAGATAACAGATGATAATAAAGTCAAGGAAGAAAATGGTTCAGTCAAGCAACTAGAAGAGAAAAAAAATGATTAAAACAGTTTGGCCTGAGCACGACCATCCTGTCATTTAGTTGATTAGAAAAGTCCCCCATGAGGAGATAAATACCACAATGACAAAACATAGCCATCTACAAAGACTAATTATTCCAAGTTGAACTTTGTCAGATGTATTTGTATGAACTTTTGGATGTTTTTAAATGTTGAGTGAGTGGATCCATGTTTTGGTTGATGCTTGGATCAAGTGTGTGTCAATTGACATCTGTATTGCATTGGTGTAGTCAATGTTTCTTCTTAGTACACCGTGTGTTCAAGTAGTGCCCATGCTGTTTAGATAGTAGATGTAGTTTAAGCCATTGGAGTCAGCCCTACCTACCCTGTGTCTGCCTGAATGTTACAAGAACCTGACACCACACCCACTTACATTATAATCAGAACTTTGATGGAATCAGAAGAAATCCATTGGGGAAAAAAAAATCAAGCTGTTGAATTAAAGTCAACATAAAGTGATCAAACTATTTGTGTCGTTTCTTTCTTTTTGAGGTGATTTTTCTAGAATACTACATGTCTAAAATCAATGATAGTTATTACATAAAGTAGACTATGAAGATGTTAATTTTAACATAAGCAAGCAAAATAAAACCATTTGGTACCACTATTGACCAAGACCTCTTACTGTCCAATGTTTACATAAATTAAAATGGAAACTTGGAAATATTTTTAATTTTTTTGTTGGAATTTTTCTCCATCACAAGTATCTTTAAATTTTAGTCCAACATAAGGTACTTTTTTTTACTTAATATTTTAAAATTACTTTTCGACATGTAAACTGTTAGAATCATTTATCAGTAAAAATTTGATTCAGATTTTCTTAAATTGTTCAGAGATGTCCTTCTGAAGGGAACTTACTCAATTTTTTTGGGAAAACCTTTCCTTGGCTTATTTGAGATTATGCAAGAAATGTATAACAAAATAACTTTCATTGGGAAAAAACCATTTATTCACCTCCAAGGATAAGAAGCAGAATTTAAAATTTAAGTCCAATGGTCACATTTCTGCTAGGTTATAAACGGACTGCTGGTATGAAGATGAACACAAAATGAGAAGAAATATGTTGTAAGTTTAGTCATGCACGCAGTGTACATTGTGCTGGTGATTGCAGATCTTGAGGTGAGCATCATACAATGTCCCTGACGGGCAGCTCATTTTAAAGGCTCCCATTTCACTCTGACTGGATGGCGTACACAAAATAAAATGGTGGCAAGAACTTGGGTCTGGGTGAATTCCAAGACCAGAACTGTGGCAGTCAAAGTCTGCAAGAATAAAAATGTAGGAACAAAATGGCACCATTAATAGCTCTACTTGTCTCGCGGAAAAAAAATTAAAATTAAGTTACTAATGTGGACCCCACTATGGGATGATATGTTTTGATGATTGGTAGAGCTTAAGACTGCTAAGCCAAAAGTCTCGAGTTCAGATCCAGTCCATCCAACCAGCTCTGAATCTGATGGGTGATTCACTAAGGTGGCTTGGAGTACTGCCCACAACACGATCCCCTGTTTGTAGAGGTTCAATGAAACTCTACTTTACCTGCTCCATGTGTCTTGGGCATGAATGGTAAAAGATGTTAGACACGAGTCATGAATGACCCCTAGACCACATTGTTACAGAAGCCACAGATCATGACCCCTAGACCTGGCCCAGTGAACACATCTTGCTATTGGTGACCAGAGCAACTCTGTGTTGCACCTCCATACCCCCCCCCCCCCCCCACACACACACCTCCATCCAAGTTTACCTATGGCTGTCCCTTCATCATTAACATTGTAGTCTGCCATCTCCTCATGAGACCCGTCATGTGTGTGTTCTGATGAGTGAGATCCGTCATGCGTGTGTTCTGAGGAATGATCGTGGGCACCAGATGCAGCGGCAGACGCTGAATGATGATCTCCATGTGAGTGGAGAGACGCTGATTCAGACTTGATGCTGGGCAGGTCAGATTTGATACCTGACAGGTCAGACTTGATGTCAGACAGCTTTAGGTTACTGACACTGGAAGATTGGGTGAAGACTTCATAAATTGTCCTCAACATGGGATACTTTGGCCCTCCACAGTGTCCATTAAAGTCGTCCATCTCAACTGACCAGACAAAAGCACCAGCCAACCCCTCTTTGATGATAGTGATAGCCTGAGAATTGTTTATTTTGCCTTTAGTAATGATGGTGATTGGTTGAGAATTATTTTGTAATGTTAACGCCAATAATACTATTAGTTTTGTCCAGCAACTGCTGAGCACTCATACCTTGAGGTAGAAGCTGTCAGGTGAATCAAAGCCAATCCACTCGCCTTGACCATAGGCATATGGCACTTTCTGTTCTTCTATCCACTCCACCTTCCAGCCATCATTAAGGATGTGTTCACAAATCTAACATTTTGTTTGGGTTTATTAAAAAAATAATTTGCTTGAAAAATAAAGTGGGCTGCATTTAAAAAGGAAATGTATAGAAAAATGAATAGAAATCTATTTTAAACCAAAGAATGTGAGATTATAAACTGACTCTAAAAATTTTTGAGTTTACAACAACAAGAACCATTCTCCCATCTAAGCTTAACCCTAACCTCATAATGAGACAGAATGCCAGATTCCTCTGTGTACTTTCCTTTAGTGTTGCCGCCATCTGCTGGTGCCCGTACGCCTGTTTTTGTCTCGTCTACCAACTTCCAGCCCAGCCCATATGTTGCTAGACCTATAACAATCTTCTCTCTTGGCACGCCGTGGTTCAGCCAGTACTTCACAGACCACAACTGCAACATTGAGGCTTGTCACATTCTGTCACACTTGTATCTAAAGTATTGTCACACTTGTATCTAAAGTATTGTCATACTTGCCTCTGGAGTTCATAAGGCACTTTCTTATTAAAGCTCTTAAAACCCTTCCTATGTTGACATGTGGTACAATGCCCTAAAAGTGGTCGGTGATATTGAGGTCAGTATGTTCAGCTTACTATATAAGGTCATCAAGTGGTCAGTGATGAGGTCAGTATGTTCAACTTACTATATACAGCTCTCTCTGCTCACCCTCTGGGTCAAGTGGGTGTGGCAGGAGAGGACTGTGGTGTCCTGTTTGCTTCTCCCAGCCTGAGCCATGGTAGTTGTAGGTCATAAGCAGCATGTAGTCAATATACCTGAGGGAACAATCATTTCTATCATGTAGTCAATAAACCTGAGGGAACAATCATTTCTATCATGTAGTCAATAAACCTGAGGGAACAATCATTTCTATCATGTAGTCAATAAACCTGAGGGAACAATCATTTCTATCATGTAGTCAATAAACCTGAGGGAACAATCATTTCTATCATGTAGTCAATAAACCTGAGGGAACAATCATTTCTATCATGTAGTCAATATACCTGAGGGAACAATCATTTCTATTGTAATATTTGTTTGAACAATTGCATACATACATCAGCTGCTAGGCCAAGGCATGTCATTTTGTTATATTAGCTTAGTAGGGTGCAAAATTCCACACTGAATTTGGGGAAACATCCTCATCAGTGGTCATTTATTAGATTAATGACAGGGTACGCAATGGATGAAAGGTTCAAAGAGACAGACAAGACAGAAGAAGCCTTTATTTCTGACCAGTAGCCAGGGGAGATAATTTCTTAGCTCACAAGTTTTGGTCTCATCCAGTGGGATGGTGTAGGTATAAATACTGCAAGTCTGAGATTCTCTCTCTCTCTCTCAACTTCAGTAGTTACGGTATAGCCTTGCTCAGAAAAACGTCTTTTTGATTGAATAAATAAACAATAGCAACTAACGCATACTAAGCAAGTCTCATTTGTATTATTTTACTGTGGTTGTTTCGGGGAACATTATTAAATTACCCCTAGACAATGACGGCCTGATTGCTAGTAACCTCTTCAGCCAGCAAGAAAGCATACAGACCACAACAAACTGTAAAACACAAGTCATTTTTATCTAGCTCAAAACTTCCACACAGCTGATTGTTGCCAGAAATCATTTTAAATAGAGGAGCATTGACCTGGAAAGTTCAATCATACAAAATTCTACACAACTGTCCACCCTGCCCCTCCCCACTGTCACTCACTTGTGTATCTCACTCTGCTCATATGATTTCTCCACATAGAAGGCGCTAGAGGCTGCTGCAAGGGTCAGGAGAAGTCTCTCCTTGCCAGAAGATTTGGATTCCTCTGCAAATCCTTCATACAATTCCTGTTAAAGAAGTTGGAATACAGTAAGTAAATGCATAAGTCACACACTCTGATGTCTGAATATATACATATATAAAGTATATACATATATACAATACATACACAAGCCTACACATATACATACACGTGGGGGATTTGAACTAAAAATGTAATGAATACTGGCAGCCAACAACCTTCATCATTAATGTGAACTTGTGGCGATCCTCAGGTCCACTTCCTCTCCAACCAGGAAACTCCCAGTCCATATCAAAACCATCAAAACCAAACCTGAAGGAAAGCAGCTTGTTTAAAGGTTGATGGTTAGGTGACTTCATTAGGTGATGGGTGGTTAGGTGACTTCATTAGGTGGTGGGTGGTTAGGTGACTTCATTAGGTGGTGGGTGGTTAGGTGACTTCATTAGGTGGTGAGTGGTTAGGTGATTACATTTGGTGGTGACTAGATTTGGTGGTAGGGGGTTAGGTGACTTCATTTGGTGGTGGGTGGTTAGGTGACTTCATTTGGTGGTGGGTGGTTAGGTGACTTCATTTGGTGGTGGGTGGTTAGGTGACTTCATTTGGTGGTGGGTGGTTAGGTGACTTCATTTGGTGGTGGGTGGTTAGGTGACTTCATTTGGTGGTGGGTGGTTAGGTGACTTCATTTGGTGGTGGGTGGTTAGGTGACTAGATTTGGTGGTGGGTGGTTAGATGACTTCATTTGGTGGTGGGTGGTTAGGTGACTTCATTTGGTGGTGGGTGGTTAGGTGATTACATTTGGTGGTGACTAGATTTGGTGGTGGGTGGTTAGATGACTTCATTTGGTGGTGGGTGGTTAGGTGCCTACATTTGGTGGTGGGTGGTTAGGTGACATTTGGTGGTATACAGTCTGATGAACTGATTTTTATGAGACATGACCTACTTGCTGAGGTAAAGAATGACAGTGAATCTGACATGACCTACTTTCTGAGGTAAAGAATGACATTCTGTGCCCAGGTTTTCCATGTTGCTTCACTTTCTATCACAGGTAGAAAGGGCGTTGACCCAATCTTCCAGCCACCCACCGCTAACAGAATCTTCAGGTCTGGATTTTTCACCTTCAGTTTCATCGTTCTGGCGTACAAGCCTAAAGAGGAAATAAAAAGTCTACAAGTGGCACCAGTCATTGTTACAGCATATTTTAGCAGTGGGAATTGGCCATAATGACATCTCGTCCAAAAGGAAGTTAGACATCCCCCCTCCACTAAAATTACATTACATTCCAATTCAATGGTTTTAATTTTAATATATTTTAGCACAACGGTATAAATCTATTTTAAAATGGGTATTACAATGTAATATTTACTTTAGTATACAAACAATTTTTTAAAGCCAAATATATAATCTAGGGTAACCTATCGTTTTAGGTACGTAAAATTGGCAGAGGATAGTAATGTGCGAGAAAGGTGGCTCATTAATATGGTTTTAATACTACAGGTATATTGTGATATTTTTGTGTTAAATATAATAGATAATTGAATAATAAACCAAAAGCTATGTCTAAATAAATAAGTAAGGGCCAGAAATTAACTTTAAACAGCCTTGTTTGAGAGCAAGATTTAGGTACATGAATCAAAGTTTGAAACATATTGTAACTTTTTACTTTTAAAACATTAGATCTAAATCCTTCTAAAAATGTGAAATAACAAGAAAAATTTGATGAGTCACCCTTTTTTTTACATTACTAGCCTCGGCGGATTTTATGTACCTAGTCCTGACGTCAACATCCGTAGATATTAGATACTTAGGGGTCGTCCATAAATGACGTCACACTCATAGGGGGGAGGGGGTCGGTAATTTTGTGATGATGTGTGATGAGGGGGAGGCAGAGTTTCTTCCAGGCATCTCTTTGGGGGGGCTTTGCCCCCCCGAAAATTTTTTACCACCCCCCCCCCCCCCCGAACGAAATGAAATGTATATAATTTTCATAGAAAATATATACTTTTAACAGTGTCCGCCCCCCTGAAGAAAGTTTACCGCCCCCCCCCCCCCCCCGAAGATTTCAAGTGCCCCCCCCCCCCCGGAGAAAAAAGTCTGGAAGAAACACTGGGGGGAGGGGGGTTCAGATGGTGCAACGTCACACTTTTGCTTTATAGAAAAGAAATGTTATAAAACGAATTTTAGACTTTTGCGTTTTAGAAAACAGTTTTAATAAATTGTAATAGGAATGGATTAAAATACTCTATTTTGACAGATTTTACTAATTTCAGACATGATTTTGGAAAAATATCATTCAATGTTTAAAAAAAAGTTCAACTGCAATTTTGAGGGGAGTAGTAGGCGGAGACGTGACGTCATTTTAGGGGGGTCTGGCTTTTTGTGACGACGTGTGACGGAGGGGAGGGGGGAGGTAAAAATCATCCAAAAAAAGCGTGACGTCATTTATGGATGACCCCTTAATAGATATCTTATTCGAATATTCTAGATCTAGGTCTATATCTACACATCTAATTGACAATTGTCTTAATACTAAAATTTTATTTCAAAATCATTTTTGAAATGCAATAAAGTGGCGTCACACTACGACCCCCCCCCCCCCCCCCCCAGTAACACGTCGTCAGTCGTCCCCATCATTTTAGGAGGAACCCTCAGACCTACCATTTTCTCCTAGATCGTTCCAGTTGTTTGGCCTCAGGCCTGTCCCATCCTCCGTGATGTCAACAAAAGCAAAAATTAAATGTGTGCAGAGAAACGGATCAATATTTTCAGGCCAGAATTTGCCCAGTTCAGGACGAGAGTTGGCCGACGAGCCATAGTAGCAAAAGATGTGCTTCTTTGGTTTGCCTGAAGAAAAAGGAATCTTTTAGACAAATCAAAGAATAAAAACCTTAAAGTGACGTTGTACTCTCAACTACAAACTCTTTTCTCAAATCCTCTCGACCTTGACTTACCTGATGAATGTCGCGTGAGTAGACCGGAAGTGGCGTGTTCCGGTGCTTCTTGGCTGCCCACTGAGTCGGGTTTGGGTTTGGTTTTTATATTAAGACTTTGATATGCGCTAATAGAAGGACCTCCTGTTTTATTCATGACTTCTGGATAAGGGTCAGTCCCATTAGAATTGTTGAGTGATGGTGTGTGTGACACATTGAATTCAGCTGTTGAGTTTTGGCTGGCGTTAATGTATACGGAGAAGCCGAGTAAAAAAACACTAACAAAAAGGTTGAAACTCGGCGGCATACAGGTCAACATTTTGTTTCCTAAAAATAAAAACAGCAATTAATTTTCCATCAAAACGGTTGACAAACATGTTAAGTCCAGAAGTAGAAACTAGCAACAATTTAAGCCCGATGACGTGTGAGTGTGTTTTGATGTAAAGAGGGTTGGTCAAGGTGGTGTGAGTACAATGGGGTAAAGATGGTTGGCAAAGATGGTTGGCAAAGATGGTGTGTATAATAGTATAAAGAGGGTTGGTCAAGATGGTGTGAGTAAAATGGGGTTTAAAGAAGGATGAAGATACCGTTAGTGAAGTTGGGCAGTGTCATTGAAGGTTTATAGCGATGCGATTAAATAAATTATGTTAATGGGTCTTGATGTTAATGTATTTTACAAGTAAATCTAGGGTGGTTTTTTCCCCACACATTTTTACTTTATCCTATACGAAGTATAGGGGAAGTATCAATGGCGGAACAGGAAAAAAGGGCCACCACGCAAAAAAATGTTTGGGCTCATATATATATATATATATATATATATATATATATGAATATATATATGCATATATACATATATATACATATATATGGTGACAGGACAAATGATCTCAGGACAAATGATCTCAGACAAAATATCTCAGACAAAATATCTTACGGACAAATGATCTCAATGACAAATGATCTCAATGACAAATGATCTCAAGGACAAATGATCTCAATGACAAATGATCTCAAGGACAAATGATCTCAAGGACAAATGTTCTCACGGACACAGTGATTTAAAAACAACGGGTTACAGAATGTACCATCGTGTGATGGTGTCTATATAACCCTTGTCCGTGTGTGTGTGGGAGGGGGGGGGGAGGAGATATTTTAAGAGATTCTCAGTTGAATGGATTATTAAGTACCTTGCGAGCTTGGAACAGTATTTCATTATACAAACTTTGCAGTATTTAATTTAAGGTGATAAATGACAATAGCGATACATGTTTTCTTGGGAGAGGAGGAGTTAAAATATCTATTGTTTGGTTTGGTAAAGTTGCTATACATTTACTTTTACCTAGGCCTACATTTAATATACATTTAACATAAGCCTACAATACATTTACTGTGTACTGTAACATAATTTAACATAGGCCTACCATATACTTACTGTAACACATACATTTAACATAGGCTTACCATACATTTACTGTAACATACATTTACTGTAACATACATTTACTGTAACATACATTTATTATAACACTAACTAAACAAAACAATTGAATAAAACATACATTTAATATACCATGCTATTTTCCCAAAACCTTAAACAAAATTGCTTTCGTGCTGCCATCAATACAATCAATATATGGGTGTAACTGAGCTAACTTACCTTTCAACAGTTGACAGAATGATACCTTTCCTTTCTGGACAGTTTTACTCAATTGAGTGTAGGGAGATCACTAATCTGGTCCGACAGCCCCGGGAGCTGGGCATTCTCTAACCAATTCTGATCTCAATAAAATATTCGTTACAAGGGGCGCTACTTAAATATACGAGACTCCCTGTCCAGGTATGGCTCACACAAACATGTCTCCCACTCTGACAGGGGGCAGTTGACTACAGGCTGCTTGCTGCAAACCAACAAAGAGGTGTAAACACACAGACTTCCTCTTTGTTATCTCTTTGTTATCCGCGATAGCAACCGTGAAAAATGTATTGCTACAATACTCAGCATACCGCCAGTCTCTTGACATCTCACTTAGAAGGTCGTCATGGACGACAAATCACAGAATCGACAACCCAAGACAGAAAGACAAACAGAGACAGCGGAGCTACACAAAAAAAGCCCCGTCGCAAGGCAAACAATCGTCCGCAATATGAGATATATATACCCGTATATATATATATATATATATATATATATATATATATATATATATATATATATATATATATATATATATATATATATATATATATATATATAATATACGAGCCGACCCGCGGTGTATCATACGCCGCTATTTAGTTTTTTTTTCTACTTTTCAGTAATTCATAATTTGTGAATTCGACAATGCTGCCAACATATTTGCTTTAAAACACTAACCCCCCCCCCCCCCCCCCCCCCCCCCCCCCCATGAAAGCAGCCTCCTCTTAGTTGCCTACTCTAAATTTTAAAAAGTTTCAAACTAAATTATCTGCCCCTAATAGCCGTCACCAAACCCGACTCTACGATTGTATTATGTAAACATTTAGCGTGAACCACAGCTCACCTGACCATGTGAGGGGGGGGGGGTAGCGATAGAGAGGAAGAGAGGGGACTGCAAGGCGCGCTTGCAGCTTGTTTTCTAACGTCTCCCAGAAGAGAATTATATATATATATATATATATATATATATATATATATATATATAATATAAGCGGGCTGTTAGTGTGGCAGTTCTTCCTTCCTTCATCGCTATAGCTTTTGGAAGCATATAAGTAATAGAGTAGGGGTTGTTTATATAACGACATAAAGTTATTTTATAGTTGTAACTGTTTTTTCTCTTTTGCATAACGTAAAGAAAATATTAAATACAGGCACATTGCTAAAACATATTAAAAGGATCAATGTCAAATATTATTTTCGTTTATAATCCTAGAAAAAGTGGAAACATTTTCATAACAGTAGGTCGAAAAAACTAATTAATTCAACTTTTTTGGTAATTTTTGCAAGGGAGGTAATTTAAAAATAAATTTAACTAATCAATAATTTAAGTTAATTTTTTTTTATTTCTACCGCATTGATTATTACGGTTCATAAGTAAAATAGAAAAATGTTAAGATTATTTATATTATTTTCTAATTAGTCTATGATCTTTCAAAATCACTATTTTTTGTTTTTGTTTTTCGGTATTAACAGATGGTGAAATTTTTTAATTATAGTGTAGAGAATGCTGGAAAGGCTCTATCTGGGCGCTGATGCCTGGAAAATCGTGTTTTTCGGTGGTGATTCTAATAACACGAGATAAATGGCCCGTTGAGGAAGGATACAACGGGCGCTAGGTTGATAGTGCTGTCTATTTTCTCTAAACCAAAGCCACCACCTTAACCTCAAATTGAATCGGAAACGACAAATTACTTTGAAAACGGATTTTTATCAAGATTTGTCATTTGGTCACTGGGTGTGATGTCACCAGTCCACTATTTGTTCACTGGGTGTGATGTCACCAGTCCACTATTTAGTCACTGGGTGTGATGTCACCAGTCCACTATTTGCTCACTGTGATGTCACCAGTCCACTATTTAGTCACTGTGATGTCACCAGTCCACTATTTGGTCACTGTGATGTCACCAGTCCACTATTTAGTCACTGTGATGTCACCAGTCCACTATTTGGTCACTGTGATGTCACCAGTCCACTATTTGGTCACTGTGATGTCACCAGTCCACTATTTGGTCACTGTGATGTCACCAGTCCACTATTTAGTCACTGTGGTGTCACCAGTCCACTATTAAGTCACTGTGGTGTCACCAGTCCACTATTTGGTCACTGTGATGTCACCAGTCCACTATTTGGTCACTATGATGTCACCAGTCCACTATTTGGTCACTGTGATGTCACCAGTCCACTATTTGGTCACTGGGTGTGATGTCACCAGTCCACTATTTGGTCACTGTGATGTCACCAGTCCACTATTTGGTCACTGTGATGTCACCAGTCCACTATTTAGTCACTGGGTGTGATGTCACCAGTCCACTATTTGGTCACTGTGGTGTCACCAGTCCACTATTTAGTCACTGGGTGTGATGTCACCAGTCCACTATTTGGTCACTGTGGTGTCACCAGTCCACTATTTGTTCACTGGGTGTGATGTCACCAGTCCACTATTTAGTCACTGGGTTTGATGTCACCAGTCCACTATTTGGTCACTGTGATGTCACCAGTCCACTATTTAGTCACTGTGATGTCACCAGTCCACTATTTAGTCACTGGGTGTGATGTCACCAGTCCACTATTTGTTCACTGGGTGTGATGTCACCAGTCCACTATTTAGTCACTGTGATGTCACCAGTCCACTATTTGGTCACTGTGATGTCACCAGTCCACTATTTGGTCACTATGATGTCACCAGTCCACTATTTGGTCACTGTGATGTCACCAGTCCACTATTTAGTCACTGTGGTGTCACCAGTCCACTATTTAGTCACTGTGGTGTCACCAGTCCACTATTTGGTCACTGTGATGTCACCAGTCCACTATTTGGTCACTATGATGTCACCAGTCCACTATTTGGTCACTGTGATGTCACCAGTCCACTATTTGGTCACTGGGTGTGATGTCACCAGTCCACTATTTGGTCACTGTGATGTCACCAGTCCACTATTTGGTCACTGGGTGTGATGTCACCAGTCCACTATTTGGTCACTGTGGTGTCACCAGTCCACTATTTAGTCACTGGGTGTGATGTCACCAGTCCACTATTTGGTCACTGTGGTGTCACCAGTCCACTATTTAGTCACTGGGTGTGATGTCACCAGTCCACTATTTGGTCACTGTGGTGTCACCAGTCCACTATTTGTTCACTGGGTGTGATGTCACCAGTCCACTATTTAGTCACTGGGTGTGATGTCACCAGTCCACTATTTGGTCACTGTGATGTCACCAGTCCACTATTTAGTCACTGTGATGTCACCAGTCCACTATTTAGTCACTGGGTGTGATGTCACCAGTCCACTATTTGTTCACTGGGTGTGATGTCACCAGTCCACTATTTAGTCACTGTGATGTCACCAGTCCACTATTTGGTCACTGTGATGTCACCAGTCCACTATTTGGTCACTGTGGTGTCACCAGTCCACTATTTAGTCACTGTGGTGTCACCAGTCCACTATTTGGTCACTGTGATGTCACCAGTCCACTATTTGGTCACTATGATGTCACCAGTCCACTATTTGGTCACTGTGATGTCACCAGTCCACTATTTGGTCACTGGGTGTGATGTCACCAGTCCACTATTTGGTCACTGTGATGTCACCAGTCCACTATTTGGTCACTGGGTGTGATGTCACCAGTCCACTATTTGGTCACTGTGGTGTCACCAGTTCACTATTTAGTCACTGTGATGTCACCAGTCCACTATTTAGTCACTGTGATGTCACCAGTCCACTATTTGGTCACTGGGTGTGATGTCACCAGTCCACTATTTAGTCACTGGGTGTGATGTCACCAGTCCACTATTTGGTCACTGGGTGTGATGTCACCAGTCCACTATTTGGTCACTGTGATGTCACCAGTTCACTATTTGGTCACTGTGATGTCACCAGTCCACTATTTGGTCACTGTGGTGTTACCAGTCCACTATTTAGTCACTGTGGTGTCACCAGTCCACTATTTAGTCACTGTGATGTCACCAGTCCACTATTTAGTCACTGTGATGTCACCAGTCCACTATTTGGTCACTGTGATGTCACCAGTCCACTATTTGGTCACTGGGTGTGATGTCACCAGTCCACTATTTGGTCACTGTGATGTCACCAGTCCACTATTTGGTCACTGGGTGTGATGTCACCAGTCCACTATTTGGTCACTGTGATGTCACCAGTCCACTATTTGGTCACTGTGATGTCACCAGTCCACTATTTGGTCACTGTGATGTCACCAGTCCACTATTTAGTCACTGGGTGTGATGTCACCAGTCCACTATTTGGTCACTGTGGTGTCACCAGTCCACTATTTAGTCACTGGGTGTGATGTCACCAGTCCACTATTTGGTCACTGTGGTGTCACCAGTCCACTATTTGTTCACTGGGTGTGATGTCACCAGTCCACTATTTAGTCACTGGGTGTGATGTCACCAGTCCACTATTTGGTCACTGTGATGTCACCAGTCCACTATTTAGTCACTGTGATGTCACCAGTCCACTATTTAGTCACTGGGTGTGATGTCACCAGTCCACTATTTGTTCACTGGGTGTGATGTCACCAGTCCACTATTTAGTCACTGTGATGTCACCAGTCCACTATTTGGTCACTGTGGTGTCACCAGTCCACTATTTAGTCACTGTGGTGTCACCAGTCCACTATTTGGTCACTGTGATGTCACCAGTCCACTATTTGGTCACTATGATGTCACCAGTCCACTATTTGGTCACTGTGATGTCACCAGTCCACTATTTGGTCACTGGGTGTGATGTCACCAGTCCACTATTTGGTCACTGTGATGTCACCAGTCCACTATTTGGTCACTGTGATGTCACCAGTCCACTATTTAGTCACTGTGATGTCACCAGTCCACTATTTGGTCACTGTGGTGTCACCAGTCCACTATTTGGTCACTGTGATGTCACCAGTCCACTATTTGGTCACTGTGATGTCACCAGTCCACTATTTAGTCACTGTGGTGTCACCAGTCCACTATTTGGTCACTGTGATGTCACCAGTCCACTATTTGGTCACTGTGATGTCACCAGTCCACTATTTGGTCACTGTGATGTCACCAGTCCACTATTTGGTCACTATGATGTCACCAGTCCACTATTTGGTCACTGTGATGTCACCAGTCCACTATTTGGTCACTGGGTGTGATGTCACCAGTCCACTATTTGGTCACTATGATGTCACCAGTCCACTATTTGGTCACTGTGATGTCACCAGTCCACTATTTGGTCACTGGGTGTGATGTCAC